ATTAGCGAGGGTAATATTTTTATATGGTGTGTAATTAATAACGGGTATTTATTGTTTGTGTGCTCACGTTTCGAATAACAAAATGGAATGGAGAAATTCGGGTTATGTGTAGCGGTAAAAATTGTTTGATCCCATCTTTTATTGATGGCATTTTTCAGTTCGCCGGATTGATATTAATAGAACTTTTTTCGCAAAGGAAGCCACTGATCCAATACGAATTACGACTTCTATAAGTAGATTTCTCTTACGAAAATTCGAGGCTTTACATCATAATGTTAAAAAATTATGTCGGCAACTAGAGACTTTTTTACTTAAATCTCTTTTGAAAAAGCTCCTCCACTTTTTCGTGTGCCTGCTTTTATAAGGACGAACGTTTTTTACTTCATCAAGTCTCTATAAGCTTGTCTTTCCACAAAGCCCGAAACATCCTTCAAAAAGGTCAAACTTCAGTCAAAGTTATCGGCAGGAAGCAACCGAAACGTTCAAACGATTTTTATTAGTAATGACAGTGATTAATCGACCAGAGAAGGCTTCTTCCACCGGAATATGCTTTATATTGGAAAAATAATGAAATTGGTCGTTAAGTGTGGAATAAGAATTTCTCAAAAAGTTCTGATTGGATCCTGCAAGGCGATGATTAGACGGATTCTGATTAAAATTTTCTTAAATGCGGATTTCTACTTAATTTTCCAACTTTTAGAAATAATAACTTAATTTGCAATCTCAAATATTTTCATCTCCACTTTTATTAAATTCCTCTTGCCTACTCGCTATATTTTTTCAAAACCGAACCGAATTTTATTGAGTTTATTTATCGGAAAAACGATAGCCGATGGATGATGGAATGGTACGTATTAATAAAAAAAGAAAAACGCGGTAGAAATAATCTGGGGATTAACAGTTTCCCGCTAGGAAATCAGGAAAAGTTCTGATGGAGAATATATGAACTATTTCATTTATTGCAGGAGCTTCTATTGAAAGTTGTGGATATGTTTAATATAGACATATTGAACATATTGAGATCGTAGTTTGTAGAAGTAAATTGAATGCTTCTATTGCATACATACAGCTTGATATAAATAGTTAATGGATTCGATAATTCTAAATTTTAGTAGGTACCTAGGAATTTAAAAGGGTTTTCACATATTCCTGGATTCGATAAATCATTCATCTTAACCCTTCCTGCTAGGAACAGGAACTGATCGGATAAGGAAAGGTCCATTTTCAATACAACTTGCGAGCGGAGGATAAAGCTTAGTTCGCTCAACTTTTACCAAATCCTACGGCTATGTATACACTTTCCACAGGATTATTAATCTGCATTGAATCGAATAAAAAATATATTTAACATTACATATATGTTAAACTTCCAGTTATTTTAATTTCAGGTCAGCTTTTTGCATCACAAAGCAAAGTGCAAATTTGCTATGCAAAGTAAAAGTTTACGAATTGTTTAGTTCCTGTTGAACCTTTCGCTATTCGAACATAAACATGTCCGGTTGAAGTTGAAATTTACGAGTTCAAAACTAGCTCCACATAGTGTGAGTTTACCACGTTTCCTTCAGTCAAAGTAATTTTGCCAATTTATAACTTCAAAAAGTCTCGCTCAACAGCAAGAATCCTATTTAATCGTAGCTGTTACGATAGTTTCTGACTGCACACTAGGTAATAATATTGTGCATCAATGTCATAAAGGAGTACCTACCTATTCTCAGATATAACTTATTAGGTATTTACTTGAATTGGAAACGTCTGGCTAGATTTTTAGTACGCTTATTGCATTATAAATAAGCATGCACAGTACGTTTTCCTTTGAAGATACATACATTTCAATAAAGTTTAGCGGAAACTGAATGCAATACGAGACAGGAACATTTCACGGAACAAGTTGCATTAATTCGCTTTAACAAATAGAATAAGTAGTTTCACCTGAAGCCAAAGTTAAGCTAATCAATACAGGTTGAATCAATTATTATGCAGAATTCTAAATGAACTTCCTAGATCACTTAATTCGTTCAGCTTAAATCCTAAGTCAGGCCCAGTTTAAATCAGATTACCTCGTTTTTTGCTCGAATTTTTCGTTCTCGGCAATTAATTGCGAGAGTTTAACTCGAAAATTTTCTTAAGAATTGAAGTAGCGAAATGATTTGAGCCTTTTTCGGTTCATAATTAATTTCGTATTGTAAGGCACTTCCTTGCCGGCAAATAAGCCCTTTTACGAATCACTTTGCGAAACAGATAAACAAATCTAATTAAATTTCAATTAATTTACAAGCTCCGTATACATATAGAATAAAAATATTCGCATTGTAATGTGTCATGGGACGTATACAATAGGAAAAAGATTATAATATATGGACATTTCAATGTTATCGGAGCTATACATTTCGAATTGACTTTCTTACGACACTAACTACATATAAATTACATAAAAGGCATATTTACCCCAATATCCTGATATCTGAAGGGGAACGGAATTCGCTTTGAAAAGGAAAGGAAGCGTAGGTTTTGGAAAGGCTTCGTTTTAACTTGTTAATAAAGCTCGTTCAAACAACTTCTTTTTGATCTTGCTCGAATGTTCAGACGGATTACCGGGGAAATGGCATGGAAAAGACAAGTCTTGATGTGCGGCCTCTTATTTGGAGTAATGGATATTAATATATTTCCAATAACAATTTGAATTTATGAGCATTTAGACTATGTTTGTAAAGGAAATATTACGATTATATTTGAGCTATTATTTGTATACTTACTTAGGTTTTAATAAGGATTCTGAATACATGACATTTTTTGTTCTGAGGTATATCGTTTCAATGCGAAAGCAAATATAATGATTCAGAACTCCCGTTTTATCACTGGCTGCATAAATCGATAGCGGGGAACTTTTTTAATTGGAAAGTTGAAGGAAACAGTCACGGAACTGAAAGAGTTCTAAGTGTTTTTTTGTTATTGAGTCAAATTAACTGCGGCAAAGTTTGAAATACGATAATTGAAATAGACAAACGAAAATTGCGTGACTTAATTATGCCGGTGATTGCGAAATTAGAATTCGTTTCTAATAAATATAACGTCCTGTCGATTAATTTACATTATATCTATGCTCTATAATCTTCAATTTTTTTAATTAAATTCATAATCTGTCGATGAATACCATAAAGCAACATTGAATATGCAATTAGATATAGCAGTGTTTAAATTTCCAACCCTCGGCGCACCTCAAACAAATATTAAAAACTTTGTTATCTCTGCGGCACCGGCGGGGCATTTTATACTAATTTCTAAAAAAGATATTAATAAAACGAACGTTTTTCCATTTTCCCCCGTTTTTTTGTCTTCTATTCGGAAAACGTTCCGGGTTCGGCTGGAAAATTAGATAGTGTTGTGAAGTCAGCAGCAAAATTTGAAATTAAATTATATTCGGCGGCATCTCTTAAACTTGGCAGTTTTATCAAGCGCTTAATTAAAAGTTCGGATTGTATTCACGTCGGAACATTAATTGTTAATCTTAGGGATGAAGTTTTGAATAGGAGAATTTTATTTTATTACCGAGGTACACGAAATTTGCAATTTAATATTAATTTTACAAAAGAGCCGCGTTATTATTTTAAGGCCACAAAGAGGAATATTTTGTATTATAATTCGGTTTAAAAGCATATACGAGTATAAATTGAACTAGTCTATAAAGTTTATTACCAAAATTTAGTTTCGGAATTTCCCTAATTACTTTCGTATATTTCTTCAATCAATTTTGAAAACCGCAATAGATTATTTTAAGGTTTATTTTTAATGTAACATAATTATTCTCTTCACGGATTGATGTCATTATTAAATAATTTTCTACCTAATGGAAAAATCAATAAAATAGTGCGCACTTAATTAAAATATTTAATTAAATGAGAACGATTTCCTTCCTCTGTTTTAACAGCAATTTCGTGCTCTATAATTCTCAGTGTCATTTAGTTCTAAAGTCATTTGCATATGTTATTTATTGGCCTATAGCGGAATTACAACAGTTTGAATGCTACCCGAAAGGAATATTTTGTAAACAATTTTAGCCAATGGAACATCCTCTTGACATAATAATTGTAAACGTGCATGTTGCTCATTGGAGACTGATTTATATTATTTGCTTTTTTAATGAATTAAAATTTATTTCATATCGCAAAATCATTTAATTTTGTTTTGATAAAATGTTTATAGTTGACCAATCGGATTCATCACGATATTTACCGCAAAAGTAAATATTTTAACAATATTTTAATATGGCGCATTTTCAGTTTTACATGACATATCAATATGCAGGGGCTCGTTTTTCAGTAAAAAGTAATTTAAATTCATGTATATTGGTCAGCTTTTATACATTCAAAAAGTTTGCTATCCAAAATATATTAAATTGAGACTATACATTTTACATCTCATTTTCCTATCCATTAGTTGCATTAATGTCAACAAAATAACTGAATACATCAATTATTTCTAACTGAACTAGTGAAAATATCACAACATTTCTATTCAATCATTCGACTAGTTCCTGCTCTCAATTAGGCAAGATTTTTCCGAAATTCTATTTTCCTCCAAACCGTCCCCTAACTTGCAATTTCCGCTGTTTTTACAGGCAGCCTCCGTAAATAAAGAACGCTGATTGAAACCAGGAGCAGCGATTGTTTGATTCGTGCAGTTAAGATGCGAGCACGTTTGTACTGGTGTCCGACTAAAAAGGTCGCATTTCGGTCACACAAATCCCATTTCGGTCGATGGTTGACTGAATGGCCTTTCCATTCACTCCGTGTTCTTACACAGTTTTTACTTCCGCGCGTCAATCGGCTAGATTGAATGGGCATAGAAGTGTTTGGACATTGCTAAATTATTGGATTTTCAACCACAGACAACGGGAAAACCTGTTTAATCCTATTGACATTTTAACGGTTTATCAGGAAGAATCAAGGTTTAAAAGACTACCTAAATAATTTTATTAAAAATTTACACTTTGTTGCTAATTTTTAAAATCCGTAAATTTCGATCATAACTCTGGGATCGACCAAAGAGGGTATTCTTAACACGACTTCGGCGTCTCCTGCTGCGACGTCGATTCGCAGGCAAAACGCACGTTCCCTGCCGAAATTTAGGACTCTCACCGATGTTATTCTTGCGCCGTTGATGGAAACAGTCCTAAATAAATGTTTTTTGAGGCAATTAGTCGCAAGCCGCGAGGAATATGAGCTTTAAATTAGCACACCCGAATTTGAAGGGGATAGAATAGGCGAGGCCGTTATTAGTTTAATTGAAAGGATTAAAGAAAACATAGATATTCTATACGTTGTATACTAATTCGTATTGTACATATTATGTAAACAACATTGTAAGTAAATTCGTATGAAGATCTGTAGAAACTTCGTTAATTAGCAGCTTATTCAATTTACGTATAATTTTCTAATCGAATTCGTAATTAATTTACCTCAAAATAATACTAACAAAGGAGTATATTATTCAAAGAGGTATACCAGCTAAATAATATTAAAAGTTGGCATTAGTAAATTAAAGCTTATGTGCATTGGATATGTTACCGGAATAATTTATTTACTTATTTATTTTTACTTCCTACAATTAAAATTGTATAAAATGAAATACTGTGTGAACTATACTCACCAACGTAGATCTTGTTCGTTCGAATACAATTCATCGGCTATAACAACTTCTCTTAACAGCAAAGTATCAGAATTACTCCTAAATTTATATATCAAGTCTCCATAGTTGCCTCCTGTGTCACGCGGAATTACTCCGGATTTCCCTTCGGCAAATTTGGTGTCAAATAAAGATCCATTCGAGCTTCTTCTATCGCCCAAAAATTCGTTTTTACTGATCGATTTCAACTCTGTTTTGTAAGTATAACTGCCTAGTGTACCAGAAAGTACGACTACTACAATAATCGATATAAATAAGTACGACATAATAGTGTTTAACTGCTCAAGTGTACTAATTTCTTTCATTTATACAAAAATGTTATCTGAAAGGTGAATTTTATGTGCACTTTATCAGCAATAAAAAAATTAGGGCAGTTGATTTTTGTGTTAATGCAGACGTGCTTTCCATGTTTTATTACCTCTTAATGGAGATGTTGCATTTGTATAGTGTTGTATAAAAATTGGGTAAACCATAACAGATTAGAATCATTTGAATGATATGCTGGAAGTCATCAATAAGCTACTATTTATCTTGTGTACTTGCTTCTTAAAGTATTTATTAGTTCCAAAGGAAAAGTTTTGTAATTTTGGAGCGTTGCGTCGCATAAAGATTCGAGAGTTCAGAAAGAGCCTTATTAACTTGTTTGAACTTCTCGAGTCTTAGTTTTGTTTATTTATAATTTTTCTTTTTTTCTCCGGCCGAATCGCAAACAGCGAGTGTTCGAGTATTTAGCGAAAGATACACAAAAGATCGATTTGGAATAGATAAGTTTAATTCGTTGCTAAAAAACTCAATTAAACATTGCATTTTTTATAATGGATTTTTTTGTTTATAAAGGAAAGCGTGTTCGCTTAACAGGCATTGAATTATACATATATTTTTTGAGTCAACCGTTATTCGCGCTTTAAATTCGCCTCATTTTCCTTTTTTATTACCTCTACTTTATTTTCACGACTTGATTCCCAAACAGCTGCCGCCGTCCTTCCAAATCTCCTCTTGCAGAATCAGAAAACTTTTAACTTTTTCAAAAGGCTCTATTGCCGAAAATATAAACAAAGCGAAATGCAGAACACTACCCAACACAAAAAGCCATTTACATCAAAGTGGCTTTTGAAGTGCTGTTAAAATAAGAGTAGAAATAAAACTTAGAGGAAACTTCGCGCCAACACTCAGGTTTCCTCTCCAGTAAACCGATTAATAAAATTACAGTTTGGACGAAAATGGATTTTATCTAGTAATCTCTGATAAATTCGATTCGGGTGAAACTATCGGAGTAAATTTTATTCTTTTAACAAGCGATAAACGTGGCCCAAAAGACAACCGACAATGAATATAAAACAAGAGTTATTTTCGATCAAAATTGGAGTTAACGTCAGGAATCAAATCGTCTCCCCTATTCGACTTCGAAAAATATGTCGCTACAACAACCGATATGTTAGAAGTTTTAAATAAGATTTAGCTCTCGAAGATCACACGCGGCAAAAAACTCCGCCTGTATTATTTGTTACATAATATTTCTCGCAACTTCGGTTCTCGCTCCGCGTCGAGTAATTCATTTCCAAAATAAAACTGCTCAACTCCGCCGGATATGCTGACTCGGCGAAACTGACGGGAAAACTTCCCGTGTACCCCTTTTTGTTTTATTTTCATATCGATTTCCAGGAGTATCTAAGTACCCGCCGAGATGCCGGGAGTTCTCTATTGGCCGTTTAATAATATTATTGAGCGTACCCGGCTTTGCTCGAGTTATGTTACGTCTGTATTTTTAGAGAAAATGAGGCTCGCATTCGTGGGCGTGACTATTCAAAATACGGGAAACTCGATGCGAATGCGAAGCTCAAGCGCTTAAATGTACGGCAATTTTAAAATTCGGTACGGTATCAGTTGGAGTTTCCCTAAAGGATTACGAAAGGAAGAGAGAATAAGCATTTTTAAACATTGCATCTAGGTTGAAAATAAAACTGTATAACTATTTAATAATTATTATACTACTACTACAGTCTGCAACTTTTTTGAATAAATAAATTGGCTTATATTTTAGTAGTAACATAATTCTTTATTATGCTGTGAGTCGTGTTTTAGCACCGCTTAAGCCCGATGTATAAAACTATCAGCCGTATAACACGAGGGATCTGAAACGGGACCAAAATAGAAATGCAATAAAAAGCCTATTACTCAAATTGTCCGTTCTAACACTGACAAAACAAAAATAAAAGCTTTCAGAAGTCCCCGAAAAGTCGCTTCCACTGTCCCGCAGAACAACCGATAAATTACAGTTTGCAGGGATATAATGGGATCTATTTGTTACGGGTTAAGCTCGACGAAGATGATTTTTGAAGAAAAAGTTTCGTTGTTAGAGAAATATATGAAATCAAAAACTTGAGGAAAACCGTGCGCTAACAAATCGCGGTTAAAGTTATTACTTGTTTTGTGTAGCATGGACTTTTTCTACTATAAACAATTATAGCTATTCTCAAATGGGATTATTTTTTCACAAGTAGCTAATTAAATGTATCCATTTTATAGATATTTTATTATTATTTCAGATCGAATATATTGTACTCTTGCCCTAAACCTAAACGGAAAACCACTACCAAATATTTATATGGCCATTAAACTTTTATTAACTTAAATAATTTACTTAGAGGAGGAATGGTCATTTCGTATTTTATGTTCACTTTTTATGACTTTATACGGTAGATTTCACGTTTATATAAGCCGTTTTTATTATAAAATAGCGTCAAGTTTAGCAAAAAAAAGTAGCAAAAAAATCAATATTATTTTTGCAGCATTTACACAATAAAATACTACCTAATTATCACGAATATTCAGCTTGTTCAATTTACAACTAAACTCTTCGGCAATACAAAAGCTTGTAAGCATTGTTTAGCCCAGCGTTTCATCACAAAAAAATCTAATAAATAGTCGGGCCATTTCGACCCTTAAATCTCCATAGTTGCCAACGTTAACGAGAAAGTATCTATAAAGCAGAGCATTCAAATCCCCGCTTCGAATAACGTTAGCAGGAAAGCCGTCCAGATATCTTTTTCCACGTTGAAATACACTGATGATGCGATTCATGACATGAAAATAACCGTAATTTTCAACCGTCGGATGGCGCGGATAATTCCGCCGTGAATGCTCATTGGCAAACACAGAACCGATTCGAAAATTGTTCAAGGCAAATTAACTTTTAAAAACTCCAATTAATCAAGCACGGCGATTTCAAACATGCTTCATTTATAATTGACTCGATAATTTCTGTTATAAAATTTTGCTTCTACATTGTTTTATATAGACATTATAATAATGATTAAAAGATTTCCTTTATAAACATTTTAAATGTACGCATGAAGAAAGTTGAATCAATTTTTTTAATTATTTTTTAACGCGCCTAAAAGATTTAAAAGGGATCATTATATTTTCATTCAGATTTGTAGAGGAAAACTTTTAACGCAAAAAAGCAAATGTCGAACAATTAACGAAATTACTAAAATCCCCGGAAATTTACTTTCCGTGCTTTCCTTTTGCCTTCAGCAATTAGCGAATATTCTCTTTTTTCGAGTCCCTTATCTATATTTCCTACAGCGACGGCGTTCGAAACATATCCCATTTTTGTTGCTTTAAAAAACATGTCAATTTCCTGCACTTACTTGCGACAGAAACTCCAGCGGAATTGTCCTGCATTAGTGCTCTCTACGCGTTTTTGCCTATTTGTTACTGATGAAAAATTTTAATAAATCATCCGTTTTGTTGCAGGATGCTCTTATCCTGGCATCTCTTACCGCCGAGCCTGATAATACTATGGTTGTGTTCGACTGAATCCCTGTGTCCAGAATCCTGCGTCTGTCGGCAATCCGAGAAGGGTCAGAGGAAGGTGTCTTGTTCGAAGGGAGGCATGCGGGGCCCTTTGCCGCTCGCCGACGTCGACCCCGGCATGGAAGTGCTGGAGATATCGAGCCCCAGCGATAATCCCAACGCGCTGTCGATCAGCCCCGTTTTCCAGCAATTCAAACACTTGCAGGAGATCTCGATCAGGCGGTCTAATGTCCTGCAGATTGGCATGCATCCTTTTTGGGGCACGCCGAGCATACGGCTGCTGGATTTGAGCTACAACAACATCACCAGTGTGTTCGATCATAATTTTCGCGGTTTATTGAATTTAGTGGAACTGAATTTGGACGGGAATAAAATCGAAAAATTGGCTGTTGGTGCGTTTAAGCACCTATCGGAGTTGAGGATGTTATCGTTACGGTACAATAGGATCAGTGATTTGGAACCAAGGATATTTTTGAAATTAGTGAAGCTGCACATACTAAAACTTAGTGAAAATAAATTTCAAGAGGAACTTAATCCGGAAGTGTTCAAAGATATTCCGGTAAGTTGAAGCTCGGGAGTCGTTTGGTAACTATTTTGTTTTTTTAAGAAATGTTATGTATCGGCCAAAAACTCGCCCCAAACTCATTTACACTACTACCTATCTACTAACAATTTCTGCTACTTAATTAAAGTTACATCGAAAACTTACGGGAGGTGTCTTTAAATACTTTGCGTTTACTTTCTCGAACTTTCGAGTTGAATTTCAACGCTACCTACGTTAGAAGTTTCGAATGTTAATTTAGAAATTGTTTTGGGGTATCGGTAAGAGTGTATAGAGTTTAATTGAGTTCATCACAGCGAAGTTAATTGAAACAATTCATTACTTATTACGAGGGAATAATTTTAAAACAAACACGTTTATGTTTTACATCATACAGTTACAACTTTTTTCTTCCCCTTTTAAAAACATCGAGTTGAAAATAAAGTGAGTTTCATCCATTACACGTTCCGTGGAAAGAATATGAAGCGGTCGAAACTAAGGTAAAATAATAGATCTGAAAGTGGGAACACGTAGTTAGGTTTGGCGTTAAGTTTATTTTATGAAAGCTATGGAAGGAATTTATGCTGACTCCTTTAATTTCAACACTTGTAAAAATATTTTTAACTTTATTCCAGCAAAAGGATAATTTTAAAATCCTTGCTGTGTCAAGAGTATTTTTTTTAATTATTGGCACTTAAAGTCAACAGTGTTTGATAATTTGAGTCTTGTTTGTTGAATTCTACACCTATGTATTTGTTTTAATTTTTTCTCGGTTCGCGGTGTTATTTACTACATGGGAAGAGTATTGTATACATATTGTATTGTATCAATGGACGGTTCAAAAATTCAAACGGGAATTTTTTATTTCGGACAAAGTTTCAGCGGAAGCCTATAGGAAAGAAAATAAAAGAATAATTATTGCTTTTAGGGCACTTTCTAGAAACTCGCGAAACATTAATTGTCTCCGAACTCACAATATATAACGGCGAGATAAATCTGTGGTCCTAATATTAACAGAACAACCCCTTGGTTTTTTAAAGTGCTTTAATAAATTACCGTATTTAAACAAAAAAAAATGGCTTAAATAAATTGAATGAAGCACTTTATCCGAATGTTTCGAACGAAACAGTCCTGATTAACTTAAAAAAATGTAATTTAACTTATTTAATATACATAATTTCCAACTAAGAATTGCAATACATACTTATGAACTACTTTTTTAAATTGAAATTTCGTGTAAGCAGTTAAACAGCACAATGTAATTATTTTTTTTCATTTAGAAGACGTCTATTTTTTCCTTTGGAATGCCAATTCGTTAATGAAAGCGGTCTGCTTAGCAGGTACGGCAAGGAACAAAATGAAATACAAATTCAATTAAATTTAACAACCTTTGATTCTCGTGAAGCACTTTTCTCCAAATTATGCAAATACTCGAGCCGCGAGCAAAGAAAAACTAGAACACGACCACTTGAAAAACTTCATAATGATATTTATTTTAGATTTTAATTTAAGGTTTTTCCGCCCGACCGAATGAAAGGAAAGCGAGAATGGAAGCGTAATTATATTTTTTTCCCATTTTCAACGACTCAATTCGAATAATACCATATATTTTTTAAAATGTAAACCGACTATTTCTTCATTTTCTTCGCATAATACTTAACAAATCTGTTTATTTTTAGGACCTTCGCGTCTTGGAAATGCGCGGCTGCGGACTGAAACGAATCAACACACAACTATATCACTTGCTGCCTTACCTTTCCCACCTCGATTTGGGAAACAACCACATACAATTCTTAGCCGAAGACGAATTCCAAGACCTCCATCGACTGCACATACTCAAACTGGACGGCAACGTGCTGCCCGTCATCTTAGAGAAGACCTTCGTCAACCAACAGCAACTCAAGTATCTGTGCTTGGCGAAGAACCGGCTGGCGAAAATAACGAATACTGCCTTCTTCAACCTAACCAGCCTCGTCGAATTGGACATTAGCTACAACAAACTGAGCAAGCTCGAGCCGGTCGCTCTGAGCCACGTGGCCGATACTTTACAAAGGCTAGTGATAAGCGGCAACAATTTCACGCTAACGTTAATCAAAATGGTGTTGCAAACGCTTTATCGCGTCTGGCACCTCGATATCTCCCACATGAAGATAAAATCCCTGCCCGACCGTTTCTTACCGGACAGAATCAAGAAGCTCAACATCTCCTGGAACAACATCACCAACATAAGCGTTCAAGCGCTACCGAGGCAATTGGTAGAACTAGATTTATCCTTCAATGCCGTTAAAGGTTTAAACGAAAGCGTCTTATTGAAACTAGAAGCCCTTCAGTACGCGAACGTGTCGGGCAACCCGTGGTCGTGCGATTTGTGCCACATCACCTCGATTATTTTCCGCGCGAACAAAACGAACCTGTTCAAAAATTCATTGTGTGCCTCTCCTCCAAAGCTCGAAGGGCGGAAATTGGTGAGTTTAAGGTTCGAGGACGTGACCACCTGCGATTCGTACGACTCCGAGCGCAAGATGCCCTCGGACAAGCTGAGCCTGTTAGTGGGCCTGATCTGCATCATAGTTTGCGCGATCTGCTCCATCGTGTTCGTGGTGTGCTCGTGCGTGCGGAGACATTCGAGAAATTTGGCGAGGCAGCGAAAGCGGGCGATGGAGCGCGGGGAGAACGACGTCGGTAGCGCCTCGGCGGTGTTCAGCAAGGGCGAAATAAGTTTTAAATTCCCGCTGGATCTGACCGAAAGGAAGATGTCGGTGTCAACTATAGATGAGATCAAGAGGGATTCCCAGCAAAGTTTGCCGAACGGAACGATAACCGGAATCTGAAAGGAACTGGAAATTTTCCGCCCGGCGGATCGCGATGGCTCTGTTACGAAAGGTTGCTTTCGGTTGAAAAAATATTTTTTGGCTGAATTTAACTTCGGGAATTTGGCTCAGTTCATTTTAAGTTAATATTAATTGTTCTTTCGGCTGTATTTTCAAAAAAAAAAAACTAAATGTAACATTCGAACTCAACCAATTCTGATGATTGTTTGAAATATTAATAAAGTCATAATTAACAATTTATAATTAACTGTTAAATTTGTATTTATTTGCGTTTCATATATTATTTTAGCCAAAAAACAATTACTTTTTGATATGTTACATTTGGAATATTGCAATCGAATAAAAAAGTTATCGGCCGATAAATATGCCGTATTACACGTTAAATAAACGAATATTTTTATACAGTTTATGTCGATTTAAATAAACTTTTAATTGAAGTTTATTCAACTTTTTCAAATTATTAACTGTATTTGATTATTTAGTCAACCAGTATGCAATATACTTTAACTTAATTTGTAAAATTTTGAGGAATATTCTATGAAATAATAAGCCAAAATGGGAATCTGGGAACTCTATTTAAAACTTTTTATCAATGCAAATTTCAAGCAATAAGCTTCGGAGAGATTTCAGCCAATCTTTTTTTTTTTAACCGAAGTTTTTCTTCCGTTGACCGGATTACATTGCGACTAACCCTCTCATGACAAGTGACCAAAGTTCTGAAAAATCCCTATTCAGGATCAGAGACAGATTTTTGACTTTTTATTTCTGAGCTACATATCGAATGTCAACTGAGTTTATGATCCCGAACTATTTTCTGGAATTTGCCCTCCGGAGTGCTTTACGAATAAGTGGGGTTTTTTTCTAGTGGCGGCGATATTCGATACAAAAAATATTTACAACACTAGATTATTTGTTCACAAGAAATTTACTTTTGCCCTGTTAAATTTAATATCGTAACTAATATTTCTGAATTTCTTTGACCATTTTAAATTATCAAATTTCTGTGTTAATTTTCAAACAATCAAGATAATGTAATAATTGTGTTTTCGAGAATAAATTATATGGTAATTACAGTATTAATTCCTTTAACATTTTCATCTAGTTGTTGTTAGTAGATAGAGAATAAAAAAGTGAAATTTATCGAGTATCGTTTGCACTAGTGTAGATAAATGGAAGGACAAGTATATTATGATTTGAGGGTCTAGCTTGTTTATGTATTCCTTTTCATTGAGTTTTTTTATTGAGATCTGCGGTCGCTTCAATCCGATATGCATTTAAGTTTGATGTAAGAGACGAACTTTAAGACGGATTCTTCAAAAAAATAAGAATTCCCGGGTATACCCTTTTCGAATACCACCCATCAATATTCTTTTTAAATTGGCTTAGAAAATAAAATGAACTGGTTCAATTCGTGCTCGATTATTGCAATATACTAAACAAGAAATACTTCCTAGAGTTCGTTTCACAGCGATTTTCTTCTCAAACAATAGAAACGTAAAAATTTAATATAACTTACTAAAAAGCAAGCATATCATTGTATATATATTATTAAGATCATAGTGAAACATAGTGCCTATATTTTGATATGATTGTTTGTATATTTGAAAGAACTTACCTTTTACGGATTAATATTTAGGGAATATCGTTGCATTATACGCTGTATCCTTTATGTACTTTCCGCATATAAATATTACTAAAAATGGTGGATATACACGTTCGTTCGCCATAATTTAAAAATGAATGATTCTCCAAATTCTTTGCATACGACTAAAATAAATATTAGCTTCGAAACTACTGCAGAAAAACACTAGGTACATGGGCGCTCGTATATTCAAATTACAGCTCATCTCGGGCAAAATATACTGCACTGCGTTGTTCATTATACAATTCCGTTGTAGCAAATTCGCGTGAAAATAGAAGTATCGGAGCTGGCTGGATGAGATGGGAACAGGATGGAGTCCTGTCACGGGAGCACGTGAATTAATGCCGCGTGTTGTGTGTGTGTGCCGATGTTCAGTTTGCGATAATAGGATTAATTGCTTACATACCTTCTGGATTTCATAGTATACGTGAACTTTTCCATCGTTTGGTTTCAATTTGAACTCAGTCGTGGGATGTTTAGCAATGCCTGTGCTTATAGGTATTAATGAGACAGTACTGAATGGCATTAGGGTGGAAGTTTAATTGGTATTCACGATATATGAATTTACGGGTATAGAATATGTAGGTAACTCTATTCATCAAACGTTTAACTTCAGATATTTTAGAAGGTTAATTTGAGTTTAAATTATTTATTCATTCATAAAATATTAACGAAAATGTTGTTTATATATAATATTTTTCGTAATCATGGTATTATATCGTGTGTATGTAGGTGTGATAGGATGATAAAGTTTTATATTTCTATATTGAAATTCTGTTCTGTTGTCACGCAATCTTAAAATTAGGAACACATAAAGAAGAATTCTATTTAAACCAGCATTAGGTAAAGGTAATATATTTTTTAATAAAACTTTTCGCATAAAAACAATAACTTCTTAAACATTTAATTTGTTTTTCTTTACTTTTTAAACGAGTGTGCAATGTGAGCGCCTAATAATATGTAATAACCGATAAGTCATAATAGAATGGCATTTATGCTGAACAATTTAACATGCCACTCAAACATCTAGCAGCAAAATTAATTTAGGAGCCGAGGATTCTGAATTATACACCTATCGAATATAGAGCAAAATGATTTGTCGACGCTTTTCCTCTAAGCTGAATCCAGCAATAAATGACAAACTTTAAATGTTATCAAACTAATAGGTTAGGGGTAAACAATAGTAAATCAAATTAAACTTTGCCGGAAATTTGTTAAAGGTATTAGACGAAATTAATTAATTTAATTATTCAAAACTTTAACTTGTAAATTAGGGAGAAATTAAGTTATATTGAAATTGAGTTATTTTCATCGAAAATTGGTTTTGATAATGGATCTTCTACATTTTGATTGGCTTTTTCGACATTCATATTCTTTACAATAATGTAGTAATATCAGCACAATTCTAGTTCGTGCGGTACAGCAAAAATGTCATATGTCATATGAATTTCGCTCTGCCTTTATTCCTCTCAGAGTCGAACTAGAGCTTAAATGGACTCATTGTTATACATGACACGATCCGAGGTTAAATTGAAACCAAAATCCGGAAAAGTTCCTATTTCAAATGATGGAATTCATGATATATCATCCATTTAAAATTCGTATTCATGAAAATATGGATATGAAAGATCTGTTTTTACTAACGGGTTGGGGTGGCTGATGACCAATTTCATAATATAATTCATTTTTTGGCAGATTATTGCCAATTAATGAATTATCTTTAAATCGTTTGTTATTTAATGTGTATATTCACCACTAATTTATTTATTTCTCTTTGATAATAATTTCAAAAAAATTACATATGATGTTTCAATCAAGAATCTTCTATAATAATACCTAACATTTCATTCTTGATAAACGAATTTAAGTATTATAATTTTCAAGCCAAATAAAACTGCTGCTTTTTAGTCTATAAGATAACCAAGAACTATTTCAAAATGATATAACTCATATTAAACTGTTTGGGGGACCATTATTTCAAGTGTATTTAATATTTGGTCACTAGTGTGTATTTCAATATTGAAGGAATTTAATGCCACAGTTATTAAAGCTAATGTTTGCATATGTAATACGTTTAATTTAATATTCAGTATTCAGTGGTTCGATTATTATGTGTTCATGAGTCGTAATTCTTGTTTAATCGTGGCTTTTAAAATATCGTTTAAACTTTTAGGAGGTGCATTTAAACGGGGTGTAAAATATATTAGGTAAATGAATTTACGATTTCATTTTGCGGCGTTTATTTACCTAATATACTATATGAATTTACTATTAATTTGGTTGATTTAATGATTAATATTCCACAGAAATATTTTCTTTAACATATGCATCTTGTTCCAAGCATATTTGATATAAAGACTTCTCGAGTGCATAGCAAATTTATTCAACTGTTGTAATAAAATTTATTCCAGGAAAGAACATTTTCTAAAAATGAATATCTATAAATATTCAATAAAATTTGTCGATGTGGCGAATTTACTTTGTATTTTTTGTGGTGCTATAATTTTGTATATACATGAACTTTGTAAATTAGTGTAAATTATGCATTGTTATGGATTTTAATAAACATTTATTATTAGATATTGTTTTACTAACATTTATCATCGGCCCAATTAATTCATTTATTTCCAAATTATTATAGAACAAATGAATTATAATTGATGAAAATAGGTTTCATAGAAATTTTGCCTATACCTAAAACACACATAAATTGTTTCAAACGAAATTTCATTAGTTAAAGCGTTTAATTAAATTCATGGTTTCTTTTAACTCTTTTGTGATAGAAATAAAACTTCACCTTTGATTAAATTTTATGGGTAATATGGAGGTTATATATGCATAACATTTTGATTAAACACCCGTCATGTCCAGGTATAAAAAATATCAATTTACTATAAGGGTGCTTAACTTTCCATAAAACTGCATCTGAAAGTAGATGAATTTAAACTGCAATTTTCTGTACAACATTTTATACGTTTAACGTTATTTTTATACAATACACCCAACAAAAAAAAATTATAAAACCCAAATGCTTTTATTCCTTTGCATCGCTTCGGCGTATTTGCTCATCTCGGAGGTAACGTAAGGATATTTTTTCTTGGGCTGAATCCACCCGATCTTCTCTATATTTTCCAACAGCGGATCGGTCATCCACCAACCGTACACTTGAGACTCGGTAATAGGTCGAATATACATATCGTGGGGCCCTACAGGTTTGAGCATCTTCTTTCTCTTCATCGCTTTCATTATGTTGATCGACTTGTAGGCGAATCCGTCCGCGTTCCTTATATAGGGATCCAGCTCCCTCATTTTTTCCAGTAACGTTAGATTCTTGTTCACCGATTGGAATATATTTTTCGGTCTCTCGGACGGTTCCTCGTAGCAAGGATGAGCGTAATCGAAAATAGGCCGGTCGTAACCGTATTTTGTTAGCCCGAAGAATTGCATGTTGCTTGCTGATAAACCCTGGTAATTTAGAATATTCGAATAAGATGGTGTTTTCTAATTTTTCATTTCGCCAAAAATTAACTGACTAATTTCTAGACTAAAATGTGTCATATGAAGTTGATAGTTCAACTAAAATTGTCATATTTTAATGGGTATTTTCATCCTTTACATCACAGTATATGTTATTTTAAAAAATTCTTCTTATATCAAATACTATTTAGAGTTGGGATGAAATCCTAAGTGAAATATCGGTAACCCCATACGCATTCATTCATCTACGTCGTTAAAAAAATCGACAGCTCTAAACTCGGAATTTGATGGATCACGATCAGATGCTAAGATAGATATTAATGGACATTTCGTTAATGCGAGAATTAGTAAGGGTTATCGGTCTTATCGTGACCGCATTTTGCCACCCTTTCATTAGTGCATAATGTACGGAACATGTTTCCATGCTTTCACTCTTAATTAATTTAGAAGCGAAATTTGCAATTCTACATGCATATCACGTATCCAAATGTATGATGCATATTTACACAAATATCACTTTGTTATAATTTGATTATAGGAAAATCCAAAGAACCATTTTAAAATGTAAGAGGGATGCTAAAAGATTTTAATCTAATTTTTACTTTATAACAATATTAATTAACGAATTGTTAAAACATTGTTTTTAATGAAGTCACAGCACATTTTTCACAGATGCTTTAAGCAATATCACAAGTCGTAAATAAAAATAAAAACCCCGAAAATTTTCCCGCAACGACAGGTAACTGCCTCCTTTAAAAGAAAATTCCATAAAACTTGTTTTGAAACTTTTATAATACTTACCATACTGAGAATTAGAAATGAATAATAGCTCTTGATAATAAAGTTTTCGGTAATTAACGGAATATATTACCACTTTAAAGCCTCCACTATAGAAGACATATAATCTAATTATACGTTGCTTCCATACTTATATAGGATTTTCTATACTGTCTACCTACAATCATGATTTAACTGGTAAGCTCTGGTGAAGAATTACATTTTAAAGCAAACCCAATTAAGTTATAACGAAATGAATCTGCTTAAATTAAACAAGCAATGAACAGACGAAAACTAAAACTGGAATAGTATTAATAATTTCACCTTGTTCTCACCAACAACGCTAAAAGCTGAAGCAACGCTACGTGATCCAATAAAATTTCATTTTATGCTCAAATTAAGAAAGAAATAACAATTATGGAAGTTTTAGGTGGGCAATAAGTATTCAAATTAAATTTTCAGTGCATTCCCATACATACAAACAATAAGTAGACATCAGCCGAATCTCGTTATCTTTGCACAAACTATGCTAATATCCTGGCGAATGTTAATCCTGTAATACCCGAAAGCCATTCAGAGCAACCCTAACAGATGTCTGGTATGCAGAGCTGTAGATTTAATAGCGGCTCTAAGCATGCTATATTATCACATTTTAATTGTGTTAATATAATAAACACAAATAAATATTATAGAGCTATAGTTAGGTGTAAGTAACGAGCATGAACTATATTGTTTTAGAAATGTGCATTTTCACATCTTGCTTTGTTCCAGCTATTGCTGTATTAAGTGTTTTAATTGTGAATATTACCTACACATATTCAACTGCTTCGGAATATTCGCTAAGGAAGAGACTGGATTTTCCCCTGCAGGAATATAAGATTGGAGGGAAATAAATATTGCTGTATTCTGAGAATATTAGTGTGCAAAAATAAGAAAATAGGATTTTCTGTCTTCTGATAAACAAACTAAAACGATATAAACTATGTACTTGTGGCACATATTTAAAAACTGTAAGTATACTGTAAAATACAATTCAACAGTATAGCGTGCGAATTTATAACCCATATTAATACGTGTTTATCCGTATTCTGCTTGTCAACAACAAACAAAAAGAATAATAAAAATCCAGCTGGGTCCGTGGAATACTCACAAACTCACAAACAATTCTGTGCCACCACTTTTACGATCTGATGCTCGAGGATTCCGCGCACGTACGTACAACGAAGCGTGCTGTATCATTGGGTAAGCCTTTTTTTCAGAATGCAGGTGGTTAAACGAAGAAATTAGATTAAACTTTGAATTTCCTATACATTCAATAGTACAGCTTCAATATATCTGGAATACTGATGATTTAAGCAAACGAAAAACCCTCATCATCCACCTGAATGATAATATTTTTGTTATACTGTAGTATTGTTTGAAATAACTCATTTTACACTTACTTCTGCTCCGTTGAAAAATTGGATCCTATTAAAAAACTCATTGAATAATGGTATTTTTTGCGCGAAAGGGAAATCGTAAATTATTCGAGATTAATACAGCGAACATTTTCATTTTACGTGAAATTACTTCCCAAACAGATTGAGTTATTAGGCCGATGCAGTCGATTCGGGCATAATAAAGTTCTTGCGTGATTTTCTGACACTAAATCGATTTAACAAATGTTCCGGGCATATCATTATGCGATTAGGCTAGCCATCGCGGACTGGGATTTGATAAAACGGGCGGTAATTTTTCAATCTGATCCGATGCGATTGCATCGCTGTTGGATGGGTTAATAGTGTGGAAAAATTCATTATGGATAACTGAATCCAAAAGTACCATAACGACAAGGACAATGTAATATGATTTTTATTCATCGTATTTTTAAGGTGTTTCCGAAGAATTTAAAAATATGAGGGTTATAAAAATCAGGTGAAATTTTACTAATTATTTCGTTGTATTTTCTCATAGGAATTACTGTGGTGCAGTAAGCAAGAATTGGTAAATTTCAACAAACAATATATTCAAACAGAGCCTGTGTAACCAAAAATCAGGATTAAAGCGATTTCGGATTTTGCATGCAGAAAACTATACGACATTATTATTCAAAGCCGGGCATCTGAACCGTCGGTACGTGTTATTTTAAATTAAACAAAAGCATAAATTTCTGATCAGGATTATAGTAGTGCACCGCTTTTAGGATGCGTTCCGAGGACGATTGTTTCCATAGCCGAGCGAATGGTCTTTTCTATCGGTTAAATGGATAAATTTTATTCGACCGATGGCATCGTATTTTTTACTTTCAACTTCTATTACCTATTCGTTGGAAAAGTTTATTTTTTAAATTACTTTTTCAGCCGCTCTACTCGCAAAGTTTAGAGTTATTTAGGTGTCTATATTTTTAATATTAACTTGTTAAATTTTATAATAAGTATGGTACTAATTTTAAGTATACTAATTTACTTTGCAGGATTCTCACTCACACACCAGTCCAGTAACGATGAAGTTGTAAAACTAATAGAACTTATAAAAATATTACTTTTATGCTAAATATTCATTAATTTTAAACTAAAACGTAAAACAGCAATAACTTCATTCGAATCGATAGACCCACCATAATGCAGTTCTTAAATGAAATTAAACCCGCAATAGGAAGATCCGCAGAAATGAATGCTCCTTAATTTCCTTCATCGAAGTGCATTTTCTCAGTTTTCCGCGGCCTTTTCTCGAATCCCTTTATTCGAAACGTCTATTCGAATTTTGTTCACCCGGGCAATATTTAGAGGAACTTTACGAAATTAATTCCATCGAGCGAAACGAAGGAGCATAGAAAAGAAAATACGGTAGGTTATGTGTGTAAGAAACCCCGTTCGATAAAATCCCGTAGAAAAGACTATGTGATGTATGTTTAATAGAAAAAAAAAAACTATTAAGTGAATTAGGTTTAAAGGTCGAAGTAAACTGAACTTACTTATATAAAATATAAAGTGAATTTATAATACGCTACTACTTATATTCATAATATATTTATTGTGGTGATAGAAATTATAAATTTATTTAATTTAGAAGTACAGTAAACTTGCCTGTACCTACTAATGTATGAATAAGTAATATTGAAAATAAAATGAATGAAGTCCATAAATTCCAAGAGCGTTGAAGCGAATTTTGGTCAACTAATAAATAACGAATCCTCGGTCCTATTTTACTTAAAGTTTGTGTTCCGGTTCCCATTTTAATAAATTTCGTATGCTTTGGCACACGAAACGGCTGTTTTCTCGGTCATAAGTGAAATCAACTCCCTCAGTGACCGACATTAAGCTAGATGAGCCCGTGCTAAATTGACCCTAAAAGCTTATTAAGGAATTAGAGCTAAGAATGCTATTCATTTCAACCGTCGCAGTAAACATGTTACAAACTTGTTACACCCATAAACATATTCTCTAATTAATGCGGGTGTCATAATAAAGAAATATTATTTAAATGATACATACTAACTTTAATAGGTATTTTTAATATTATTTTCATGTATACCTGCTTGTATAAGTAGCAACATGAAACTATATAGATTAAACAACTATTATTATACAATCTGATGCTATTGTATGTAGCATAGGCTCCGTGTATATTTTGAATTACCTACATCAATATGCAAATTATTGAACTACGTGCCTATCGGTGGTTCGTTGATTTAACCGATTTCCTCCATAGGTAGCGCTTAGACTATTAAATTACCTACGTAATACACCGGATTTTCCGTTCCTACCTATTAATTGGATTTATTTGCTTATAAAAATTAAGTCAATGCTGAGGTGATGATGATTGTGGGATTATTTTCTTCGAATTCACGTAGATATTTCTGTTGCGTCAGCTGCAGAATGATTCGGAAGTTCGCGAACTAGACTGGGCTCTGAATATTTGCCTACTTGCATTTCAATTAAAAATTATCTTGGCCTGTTAGCTTCTTCTCTGCCTTTCGTGAATATAAATCAGATGCTAATGACGTCTGGTTTTGACGGTTGATAACTACTAATAAAAATATTCCTCTGTCGTGCCGTCTCCTTCGACAAAAACATTAGAGATAAATGACGGAAGTTCCACTATGCTCTATATTATTTATACATTCATTTTTTACAGGATATAATAATTGGTAAATTAAATCCCAACAAAACAGTTAGGTTAAACGAAACGAAGACAAACCGTAGATCAGGATTTTTAGGAACACAAGAAACAAAATAAATTGCTACTGTGCACTACTAATTGAGAAAGTGTTTAATTTTGTACTACAGTCTCCAAATTGCAATTACATAGGAGTAATTTAATAGGGGCGTAATTGCAAATTATTTTCGAATTAGACCAATGATAATAAAAAACGTCAGTGAAGTGTTTAATGAGATTCCTCCTTAATGGAAATATAGTTTAATTCATCTACCCACACCGCTATTTATTTGCGTATCAGGAACACCATAGGAGAGAGAGTAGATAAACGAGTACGTATGGCAAGAACACAAGGCACACTTTTAATGTTACGGGGAAAAATGTACACCCTAAATTACAAAAAACAAGAATCCCGACTTTTCTACCCCATTGTATTTAAAATATATCCGCATTCCTCCGGTGACAGTAACATATACATTCGAAGAGGGAAACAGCGCCGGCCCGAATAAATAAAGAACTGTAGGTCATAGTGTCAGCTTTTTACTGCTCTATTTCCCGACTTTCCTACTTTTCAGCGCGGCGTTCTAATTTATGCAGTTTCACTTTTTATGGTTGTACCAAAGTGCGAGGAAATGCGAATTCATTGAAGCAGCCTTTAGAGGAAAAGCAATTCATTTATCAAAAGGAATCTGTTCTAAATATCGACACAAATTTTATCCCAAATAAATTTCAGTTTTTTAGTATAAAAACGACTTGATCAAAGAACACTCTAAAACTTATCGACCTTTCGAAATTTGTTAACGTGTTTTACACCACTCAAATCTCCACAAGCCATAACCATGCATATAAAAATATACGGCACGTACTAAAAGCCGAGTCTCTTTATCTTTCGGGCGGTTCTGCAGATTCTCGATATTTTAAAATTACCAATTTAAGAAAATGTTAGAGGATAACAACTTTTTATGTCATACAACCGTCATTTATAAAATATATTGCAGGTAAGAGACGTTTCTGAGTGCCCTTATTCCACGAATTCTCTCGGAAAATGTCAATAAGACCCTCCATCGTTCATAGTTATAAATTTTTTTTCATGGCGGTAGAATTCTGGATCAGACGAGGAAATAAAACCTCTTAGGCGTATCGTTACATATTTTATTTACTAGCCGTAGTAACTTTTCGATAAAACGGTCATGGCATGCGCACTTAAGTAATAAGTTAACCCAGCCATAATACCTGCCTTTTTCGATATAAGAAAAGCTACCTTATAAACCCTTTAACAACCTCAGTAAGAATACATGAATAAGTCTCATCTATTAATTTCATATGAGTGTCTTCCACGAAGGCTGATCTGGTAAAGAAACTTAAAATGATAACATGGATCGTACAAGAGTCTCGTAAAATCTGGAAGTGATACCTCGCTTTAGACTAAACAATTCATCTAACACAGCTTATAAAACATTGTAGCCGTAATTTTATTCTGCAGCATGCCTAACTAACTTAACAAAAGCAATCTCTGTATGCTAAATAAACCTAAAGAGAGAAAAAGGGAATAAAATAAGGAATAAAGCTCGTGCACATCGAGCGCATTCGCTTTGCCAAAATAAGGAAATTCCGCGCGCCCATAAAATTCTCGTTGACATTTTCTGTAATCATCCTTGAATAGAGGTACACGGAAATATTATTTCGAAGGCAATTTTGGCCTTTTGAAATAAAATATAATGGAGTGGTCATCCTGAATGGGTACAAAGGAGAACTAGCGGAAGTGCTGCGAAATGGAATTATTGAAGCAATATTGAGTTTTTGTACCCTGCGGTAGACGACTGATGCCAGGACCGTTTCCCGTTTCATCGATCAAAATACCATTTTACATGCCGTTTAATGAATAAATGTTCTTCTAAAATTTAAAGCCACTTGCATATTTATTAAACAATCTTCCAAGCAAATAACAATTTTGTTTGTATGTACTAACAGAATCATTCGGAGTAACTTTCACTTTCACCAAATTCAGCCTGTACTAATAATAGCGGGAGTAGTCGTGCTGAAAAGCATAAATTAAACCCGAAACCATGCACGGGAACCAATGACCAGCTAATTACATTAGACCCTTTAAATTGGCTAAAGCGATGAAGCCGAATTTATTTTCCGGAATTACCCCTATCAAATTTTAAGATTTATTCCAATTTACATTTATATTTTATATTACGCAGGGTTGAATGCCAGATTTGCATTCCGTTTGTTCTATGCTCCGGAACCGCTCGATTGGAAAATTTGATTGAATTGCTTAATACATCATTGAATTATTTTGCGAGTATACATTCGACTGTATTATCAAGTAACATGCAATCTCCGATTATGCAGGATATAGGCGAGCAATTTATAACAATTAACTAATGCAATATTGATCAGATCAATGGCGTTAAACGCATCCTTTGAAACCGTTCTAGGACCCAAGCCACTTCAATAACCCATCAAGGTTTCTCTAGTGATTCATGGCTATTTGAATGTACAATGCATCATTACATTACTAATTCCTTAAGGGCACGGTAGTCAACAACACTACAAATTGGGTACAATTACTCGTTTTGTTTGATAGGAGCATTAATTTCAATTATCAGCAACTACGCAGTAAGCAATATTAGATAATGCGAATTCCAATCTTTGTAATCGAAAGGAAAGCATTTTAGAAAATTTTAACCGACAATGAGAGGAACTAAACAACGCCGAGGCGAGATTAAAGAAAACGTTTACGCTTCCCAGGTCCTTATCGAGTGAGCTAATTAAGAAGGAAAGAATCGGAGAAGAGAATTAAAATTCACAGCAAGTAACTTCCTAATGCTCGTTGAAAAGATAGCGGCATTTTAAATAGTTGGCGTCGAAGTTGTTTATTCTTTGAAGGTTCGGGAAAATTTGAAATTCTTTGTTGGCTAGACCGTTGTAATAAGAGAAGTTGATGGAGATATCATTCGGTGGTAATAGAATATTTCGTTATTACGTTGAAGTATTTCGGAATCGATGTGCAAATTTCGATTATTTTCACGGCGGCAAACAATCCGATAGCCGTTCTGGCAATTCTTTACCAATTAGCCCGAATTCGCCGCTGCGTTTGGAACAGAAGCAATGGTATTCAATTTCTAGCTGCGCGAAACTCTAAAATTTGTATTGAAAGTGTACGTTTGCAAAAAAACTGTCGCTATCGTAGAGAATTAAAAAATTTCGCCCCAGTCGATTCCTCCTTTTATTTGGATTTTCCACCAAACGTACAAACACGTTTATATTCAAACCGTATTTTTTCAACAAACGGTCAATATTCGATTTTGAAGAGAATTTTATTTATCATTGGGTCGGAACGTTGGGTAAATTATGTCTGGACAGCGGATGCACGAATGAGGTCGAAGCGAAATTTATTTTATGTAAAAAAAAACATTTTAATTGAGCTAGGAACGCATCAATTTGTTTTGAAGTTCGAAATCCAATTTTTTAAAAGTTTTGAGCGTTTTAAATTCATGTTCATTTTACTTGAATCATTTACCTACTGGGCGACAAATTTAATTAACACGACAATGTTTGATGGCTGATAAATGTTTTAATTTGAACACATTTATACACTAAAATACATTGCTATACATATGTACAATAAATTAATATTAAGTGCATATTTTGTCAAAGTTACAATTTTGTCTTTAGGCAAAATACCTATTTAAAATAATTTACAGATTCAACAAACTGAATATTGGTAGCTAATGTGTAATTTCGTAGTAAGAAATTATGTATTGCTGATATAAAATCAATTTCCTAAATTTAAAATAGTTATAAAAAAATATTATGAGAACACATTTAAACTGTACAAAACTAAAAAGCATTAAGTAACATTATACATAGAATGTCACAAGTCATTAATTTTTTCTTCAAATTAAATAAATAATTCATGTTTTACCAAGAATATTAAAAAATAAAACCAAAGGTAAACGAGAAGTACCTTCATTTTCAACAAACTAAAGTAAAATCTATTATTTTTTAATAATATTAATTGTATAATTTATATCACCGTTTGTGTCGCAAAAATCCCTGATCATGTTGTAATTAGTCGACAAATATTTCTTATCTAGAAATCTCATGTTATCGTCATTCATGTGAAAACAAGGCCCTTCTAAACTTATAACATCCGCGCCTTCAAATAATACAGAAATTCTGTACGAAAACAATTTATCGGAGTTTTGCAAGCACAAAGAATACACCGCGAATCTCATCACGCCGGTGTCCTGTTTAATATCCCATACACACCTGAACAGGTTGTCGTAAACGTAGAAAATTATAAAATAGTTCCTGTCCATTAAATTGCAGAAATTCGTGACTTTGAGTTTCTGTTCCGTTACGAAAAATGTGTTGTCAGCGTGTATATCGTTGCAGTGCGTCACCATTTCAGATCTCATTCCTTTCCACTGGCACCTGTTAAATCTCAAAGGACAAAATGCAGAAGAATATTCACAATAATCTTGATGCGTTGTCATAATGTCTCCTTTTCCTACAAAGTTGCATCCTGGAAATATACGAAATGTTGCACAAGAGCTCACGTATACTGAAAACTTTTACAGTATCTCGAATAATTCTTTATGTTTTTTTTTGTTGAAGAAAATAGTTTTATTTTTTGGACGAAACTTCCTTACCGTGTTCTGCGTATTTACAGGGAAACGTCAGCATGGCGTATATTTGCTCTAATACAATACATCGATAGGCGCTTTTGTTGGCCCTACATAGGGCGCATTTCCTTATTTTTTCGAAGCAATAGTCGCAATAGATGTGTCCTGAGAGGCAGAGTCTAATAGGCGGTATCATATATTTAAAACACACTGGACATTCGAATTTCGTGCGAAGGGTTGCTTCGAGATTAACGACACTATTATTATCCGCCATCGAGGACTGAAAGAGTAAACAGTTTTTTCACAGCAATTCAGAAATAAGTTCAAATATTTATTAAAAGATTAACAATTGTTAACATTCGTTATTTTATAAACAAGTGAAATACTTACAATTATTTCTGCCAATAAGCATGCAAAACTTTTTAACCGATACGTGGCTTAATGGTGATTGATAGCAAAATAAACAGGACAATTTGAAAAACTACACAAAGATAAAATCCAAAACAAATCTGGTCGATAAACATAAAAATTGGGCTACTTTACTACGAATTATTTCAAGTGGAGCATAGTATATTAAATTAAGTAAAAAAATATAGTCAAGTAGGTATAATTAAAATCAGCACAATAGTTTTAATAAAACGAATAAAACAGTATAATGAAACTAACTACTAAATTTATCTATGATAAAAGCAATGTATAATATTTTTTTAACTCCGATAAATGCACTCTAAGAAGACATTTTACTAGAAGAGGGTTGGTTAACATCGACGAGTTCGGGCTTACTAGTGTCTATAATTTTAACAGCATAATGGAGCTCACCGACATTATCAACAAGCGGTATGAGTACGTCAACCGGCATAACCAGGTACTCATTACCATGAAACAGTTTAGTGTAATCGACTTGATGGGCGCAAACCGCCCTTAGCGTGATCCCGGCTTCCTCGGTATCGTTCTGCAAGAATTTCACTTGGAAATTGAACCGGTTCGGCGTCGTCTCCTCTCCGATGTGCGTCGCGACGAATTTGAACAGCTTCGTTCGCATGTCGATGGACACGCAGAAACGGAACATCGTCTCGTAGACGAAGATGACGTAGATCCAGCTTCCTCCGCTGAAATAGTCCTGGTCGAATTGCACGAAGGACAGGACGTTCTCGCGTCCGACGAGCGTGCTGAAGTGGTGCTGCTCGTGACAGTGGTCCCGGATGTCGAAGCAAACGCCCTCCCAGCTGCAGCAAGTCGTGTTGGTGAACGGGCACCTCTTCAGGGTGTATTTGCACTCGTCCTCGTGCGCGTCGAGGTCCTTGCTCTTGCACTTGACCTCGCAACCGTTGCACGCGTACTTGCACGGTAGGTGGACCTTCAGGTAGATCTTCTCGAGCAGATGGTTGCGGGTTTCTCCTTTCATGGAATGGCATCTGTGGCAGCGGTAGATCAGTTCGAAGCATTCTTTGCAGTAGTCGTGGCCGTTCCTGCATTGCTGGATTGGAGGGGCCATGTATACCCCGCACAGGGGGCACTTTAGCTCGTTCAGAAGGTCCTCTTCTAGCATGTGGTTCATGGAAATCTGGAATTTTAGAATATTTTACTTTAAGAGCTTGTTAATAATAAGAAAATTTGTCCTTGTTTCCCCTACGTGTTGTGGAATAGAGTTTTTTTTTTATAGAGAAAATTGATATCCAAAATTAACACACAGGTTCAAACTCGATTTCAACTATTTGTACAAATATTTGACTATAAATCAGGTAGCTCTTCTTTATAGTTTTTTCAATCTACCTACCGAATTAAATTGATTCCCTTAAGGTAAGTTCATTATTTTAACAAAATTTACAAGACTATTTGAAAATATAACGAGTTTTAAAATAATTATTTTAGTAAACAGAAAATCTACCTAAGAAAAAAAATGTTATGATTCTAACTTACCTCGCTTGAATCTACTTTACCGTCACTCATCTTCTTTGCACACTGTAAATCAAATCCTCACTTAACTTTCTCGAGTCCTAAAGCAAAATAACTTGGGGATTTTAACTACACTTCTAATATGCAAAGTACTAAACAATTTGACCCATTGCCAAAGTACTACCTGTTATGTTGAGTTTTGAATGTTCACGAATGGTAGGGTGCGTTAGGAGCTTGTCCCGTCGACTAATCGCATTCTAATAGTTTTATTTGGAATTTTTACTGAATTTTACCCTTCACCAGAATTTATCTACATAAACTTCTTTACTATCCTGCTTTAATCTTTAATGTTTATTTGTAGTTTGTGATACCAAATGATCGTTTAATGCTCGCCGGTAAAGCGCATTTTATTTTTAATTTTTAGAATTTACATTATCAATAAGAATCTTTATGAACTTTGTAGTTTGTTTATTAGAATTGGTATTGCAAAAGTTATAAAAATATTCTAAGAAATAATTTAGTCTTAAATATTGATTAAGGAGATTATCATTAAAGTATTCGTGGCAGAATTATATAATTATTTATCAATTCTCTTAGATATTTCAGAGACAATAATAATCCGTTTTATCAACTAAAATGTATTTAAAACATTATTTCACAAGCTACTTGGAATCTAATTTTCGGATAATTTATGATCGAAGCATCATAAAATCATGATTACAATAGCGTAATTCCTACATTTGTGTACCTACTGTGTTCACCGGTCGTTACCTGACGTGAGGAAGGAACCAGTTATTTGCGAGATAGTCCCTCTTTACTGAGGGTAGAAACTGTCCCGTCTCTTTATTATCCTCACCGAAGGCTCAATGCTCAGACGCGCTCTTAAGAAATTTAACCGTTAAAAGTTTTACAGTGCAACCGTTAAAGTCGAGGACGTTTTATTCAAAAGTGTAGTTATAACCGAATAGTGCAACAAAATTAGGTGAGATTAATGGAAAATTTTATTTACGTAACAATATTTTTTTGTTAAATATCCCATAAAATAGTCGTTAGATATTTAGCTAGATCCAGTTAAATTGTAGGTTATAGAATTAATGGAATTATTTTTGAACTTATTGGCAATTCCATTACAAATTACAAATTATGGCAATGAAAACAAATTATTAAAAAAATAAATATCGGTTTAAAGGAAGAAATGGATTTGGAGCAGATAGTCCGCGAAGAGCTCACTTGTCCAGCATGTTTCAACTTCATGGCCCCGCCGATAAAAATGTGCACGAGAGGTCACTCGGTGTGCAACGACTGCCTGCACCGGGTCACCATCTGCCCCAAATGCAGAGGAACGATGAGCGCCTGCAGAAACTTCGCGCTCGAGTCCATCCATTCGAAGATCGTCGTGCCGTGCAAGTACCAGGCGATGGGCTGCGAGTACGAATGCCTGGGCGAATCCATGGGCAAACACCAAGCGTTTTGCAATTACACCAAAACGATATGCCCTTTCGCCAACTACGACAACTGCAAGTGGAAGGACGCGCTGGTCAACTTGAGGTTGCATTTGCTGGAGAAGCACGCCAACAATTTCTACGTGAGAGACAAGCAGAAATTCGTGTCGCAAAAATTCGCAAACATCCAAGCTTATCATTACATTTTCGCTGTTATGTATTACTTCGAACATTTCTTTAGAATCACTTGGGAGTGCAGCGAAGTTACAGGTACGACGGGCAAAAATTTATCGTATACCGCGTTTACTAAAAATACGTTTGTTTTTATAGGTTTGACACGTTGGGCAGTATATTTGATGGGCTCTCCCGAGGATGCCAAGAAGTACGCATACAAGCTGGAATTTACAAGGGGTCACCTAGTGGAACCGAACGCGATTCCTCTGTCTTATAAATCAGTCTGCGATTCCATGCCCCAAAAATCGAGAGATTTATTCAAGGACCACTCCGGATTTTACATTCACAAAAGCGAGTTGGATAAATATTGCACTAATAACGGCAACTTGCATTACAAGATAACGATTTATTCGTTGGAAGGAGACGAAGATTCGACGAAGTGCGATGCTGCTGCGGTTGTGGCGGCTTCGCCTGACAATACACAAACCGATGTGGTAAATAATAGCAAATGACTTTCATCGGTGCAAAAACTTTTATTCAATGCAGTAGTATCGATGTAGCTATACAGTTTGTTTATATGTTTTGTATACATTAAAATGCCCTGTTTTCGTTCGATAGAGCTAGTAATCAAACTGATCAAACAAGAAAGTTTTTTCTCTTTCACTATTAGATTCCTTTAGAAATATCCAACCTCTACATTCAAATAATACAGTTACTTGCGCCAGACGAAAGTAGTGTCCCGGTTTGTGTGTTAACAACTCAAAACTTGGGAACTGCTTCCAACGGTAGCATTAGATGAAACATTATGTAAAGGTACAGGAGACATTTAAAGACATTCCGACGAAATTCTGCTCGCTGAATAGTCCCTGAGAAGATTCCGCTGGTTGAAAAAGTTTAAATTGCGAAAATGTGAGCGCGAAGATCTTCTTAAAAGTCTTAATGAAACTCAGGTGTGGCATTAGAAGAGATCTATGATAAAATTGCTCTTGTATTTTCAGGTAAAGTTGTACTATATATTGTTGCATATTTATGTATTCTGTAATCTAGAAATAACGTATGTTATTTTAAAGGAAAAATACGTTATAACAGAATTGGATTGACGATTTAACAAATATTTGTTTGTAGGTGAATAAAATTTTATGCTTTTGTTATATCCAATTACATTAAATAATATAGTTTGCTCTTTCATTTTAGAGCAGCAAGTTTTATCGGAGAATTACATGAGCATAAAAATTTTATTTTCGCGAATTAGCATAATTTTTATTACTCTTTTTAAGAGAAGACCAGGAGTATTTTCGTATGTATAAATAATCTTTCCTCCAAATTGGAAATTTTACCACTTTTCTTTATAGTGTTAGCGACTGTAAAATTTAATACCGAGGTTCAAAAGTAGTTAGGGCTAAAAGGTGTAGTAAAAGTTATGTTGGACAGTTTGACATGATAAAACTAGAGTTAATCTAATTTTTCCGCTTATTTTGGTAATTTTTATGTATATCGAACATAAAATAATCCACTTATTTTCTTAGTGGTTAATAATTGATTTAAAATTAATGCAGCTCAAAGAAAATTTCTGGCAAATCTGCGTTTTTGCTAATATATTCGCGAAGGAGACTATCTTTTTAATATTTTTTCATTATTACGACGAACGGTGTTTTTCTTCCTTCTCGACCTATCAGTGATCTAAAATTTATTTTAATAAAAGTGGAAGGCCTAATGCAAACTGTCTCGAGAGAGCTTCCCAAATCCTGATGCTCTTCAGTCTTTCGAGCCACTTATGAATGGAAAATGAAGCTTTTGCATCGACGAAAAATTCACATTTATGAGTGAAATTTTCAACATTTTCCAAAACTCCTAAATTGCTCAATAGCAAACGAATTTTATTTAGTTCGTAACAATTTTCTTTCTGCTCAATAATTCTGTAACAATATTAGAAAATATCTCCTGAAAATTAATTAGTTTCGCAGAAGAAAATTCTACCTTCTGGGATGAATAAATAAGAACACGTTTAGGTACGGTTGCGGCTGAAAATGAATAACGCGGAAAATCGTTGTCAGGAAAATTAACCGTTTGAAGATGCTTTAACCCTACCTGTGAGCCTTCTGTCGGAGAAAGTAGAGTTTCAGAATTTTTCCCTCCACCGCGGCCTCTTCATGTTTTAAAGATAAAGGATTCAGATTGCTGGAATTTTTTACGTGACTCCGCTCTAATGGAAAACGTTTTTTGTTGTTCAGAATTTCTGCGTAAAAATGCATGTAATGAAAAATTTGCAGACGTGAACCTGCATCCTGCATTTCAATGAAAACGAGCCCTGTATTGAGGGGCTAGTAATTTCATAATTGAAAATAGTAACCTAATACATACTAAAATAACATCGCCTTTAAATAATTCTATCTCCCAATTTACTGTAATCATATGAGATGGATATGGAAAGCATCCAAATTTTTTTATTAATTATGAAATTTTAATATATATATATATATATATATATATATATATATAATATAATTTTAATTTTAATAACGTTATACCAATTTTCCATTTAGGTACAGTGAAACCAGTGGGCAAATATGCAAAGCTAGCGAACTTTATCCGACGTATAATGGAAAACAGTTCGGAGCGATACATTTTCACGGTTGCCTTAAAGAATTTCACGTTAACTTGACAAAGTTAAAAATGGACTTAGTGGAGACGTACCGTTTTTCATAAACGGAAAATCTCGACTTCACATCTTATTTATTACTCAATGCTGAAGTGGGTCGCATATATTAAAGATGGCGCACTTCTAAAGTTATCTATTTTTTTTTTTCAACTTTTTGAACGCTTCTATTCATCAGAAGAAGCTTAAATAATTCATTAGAGCTACACATGTTTGTTAGTCGCAAAAAACTTGGCATTAATGCGTTATAAAATCCCTAAATCCTTTTATCAATTTTCCAAAAATAATCGACATCCTTATTTAATACCATAACACTTTGGCAACCCAAATTGTCCTCAATACTGCCGACCTCATTCGTACGTTTTCCAATTCTCTTCCGCATTTTTTGTCAAATAAAATGTGTATAAATTACCCGGAACATTTTTCTATTGGAAAGGAAAAAAAGTTATAGAACAGAACTCCTCCGACAATCCCATAATAAAGAAACTGCGAAACAAATCAGACGATTCCGAGTAGAGTCACGACTGTGATAAAGTCCAACGGGCGGTCTGCGAAAGTCGCTCCTCCGTACTCACGAATTTATTCTCACACGAACCGGAGGAGTTTTGAATTGTCCTTTTTACGGGTGATTTGGGTCGAGTTTACCTGTATTAAGACCGACGAAGAGCCATCTCGGAGTCTGCGGCCTCTTTTCTAACGACTCCATCAACTTCGACTCGTGACCAGAATGCCCTCTAACTACTTATTTTAAACAAATATTCAACAATAGAGCTGGTTAGATTAGTAGAGTGTGGACGAAAATAATTACAACCCGGCAACATCGCGATATTTTAACATAATGACTTCATCTACAAATTAGTTACTAGACCCATTCTATAACATATAATGTAAAGCTCAATCTTACTCTAATGATTATTTATGGTTTAGTTTCTGTCGAAATAAGCTGTATAGGTATTATAATTTATGAAATATTTGGTATTTCGGTACATTAAATTTAAATGGAACATTCATATATCTATCCCGGCATAATTCCCATATTATCTATAATATAGACTTGCATCTGGTTGATTTATATGGGCACCTTGTTTTATTAATGTCTTGAATAATTGCATTTAATTATGCAATTCTATATGGATGTTGTGATAATTACACATTCATTTAGAGTAATTGTATTTGTTGAAAATACCTAAAATTCTAATGATTAATTAAAATAAGGTTAGTATTAATTTCAATTTATAGCCATGCAAAATTCCTAAATAATTTGGGTAAAATTATACACAAAACCTCAGGAATTTATAATTATTATAATTAAATGGTATTTTTAGATACATAATGGCTTTCTAATGCTGAATTAATTCCTAATATTTCAGGGTAGGTATGGTTATAAAAGTACTTAGGTTTGTAAAATAAAAGAAGGAACGAGAATAAAAGTATTTCAGTGTTTGCATTTTAATAGCAAAAGATACATCATTTTTATTATAAATGGTGCGTGTTAATTTAAATACGAATTTACTCGGGATATCCTCCTTTCATTTCTGAAATGGATCACTAAAATCACTTTATACTGTTTCTTATGCGAATTTAAATTACCTACTTAGTACGTTATGGTATAAAAGTTTCGATCAAATGAAATCAACTTATTTAGCTACTAAAAACGTATTAAAGAAGTTTTCTTCGATTTAAAAAACGTTCACATTCTATCAATTCGCGTTCCAATTTCCCATGCAATTTTTTTCATTCCGCTCGAAAAACATATGCAAATTTCTCAATACGTCATTACGCCTATACGAAAGAAGAACAATATTTCAGAGCAAACAGTATATTGGGGAAATTTGATTTACTCGCACGGTTCCTGGTATAACGGAGCTGCAAATGTATAAAACAAGATCGCAGGGAGGCTTGTATAGAATAAAGGATATTTAGAGAGAAAATTGAAAAATTTCACTATAGCCTCGAAGCACATAGGGGTGGCGTTATAGGTTTCGAATGCGGAGGATTTATCTAATAAAATTTTTCTTACACACTCCATACCATTTTTTTTTTTAATACAGAAGTTATAAATAATAAATCAGTAAGTACTCAGTAAGTAATCGTTATACAATTAACATACCTACTATTTTTTTTAAATTCGCATTTTTCGTATTAAAGATATTCTTCAGGATTAAAATAAGGACGACTCTGATGCCTTTAATAGGCGTTCGATATGAGCGAGTTCATATGAAAGGGAAGAGATCGAATGCTTCGCGAATGACGAGGGGTTTGTCTCAGCATTCATTTGCTTACGTTCCGGGAGATAATCTCAATCTCCAGAGCCTTACATCCTGCCGTTTATCCTTTTTGAATAGGTATGCTTTCTCCGTAGGAGCTCTTTTAATGAATGTGTTTTTCCGAGTTCACGTATCTTCACGAGTACTTCAATTACTACATAAATTAAAGCAGTTATTTAACGGGAGTTATTGTACAGGATGTGATTCAACTTTTATGTAAGAAATGCAGGTATTAAAATCTATAAATGTTACAGAATGAATATATTTTTTTCTCAATATATTACACATTCTTTAGCTGCATCAGTATTAACAATTTATCATAATTTTTTTACAGCCAATCTCCTGCACTGAAGACGAAATTCATAATTGGTAGAATATAATAAAATACGTTTAAGCCCGGAAAATTTATGGGAATTCCTCGGTGGAGGTTAAAGATAACACATACTTTACCAAAAACCACGCACGTAAAGTGAAATATCTTGTTCGATGTTATCGTTTCTGCAATATTCAGCATGTTGAAAGCCTCTATTTTATTACAAATATAATTTAAATTACCTGTCACCGCAGCTAAGTAAGGTTGTGAGAAACAGTAATAGAGTATAATTCACAACTGTATACTTGGATAATAACATTACCTAATAATTAACAAATTTCAACTATTAAATTTGTGGTTAATAAATAGATGTCTATAAAAAATATTGTTTTATAATTTCTTCTTTAGTTATCTCAATAGTAATACTGGCATTTCCAGAAGGCTTTTCCACAAAGACTCGATGTTTATCTTGGCGACCAAAAATAATTTAAAATAAACACAATAAAAATTTGAAAAAAGCTCATCAAATATTCTATGCTACATTCATTTCGAAATCGATACCCTAAAATGTGTGTTTAAACCTCTTAAAAAAACAAACAAACAAACAGGAATCTTTTATTTTCCATGGAAGAATATAAATTTGAGCCCTCTTTTTGCGTAGTATTCTGGAAAGAAAATACTCGAGGAATATCCAGGACAGAGACACCGACAATCCAGTATATTTGAAAGTGAGTCCTGTTCAATTTAATCAAGGCTACAATTAAAACAATTTACATTGATTTGTTGAGTATATTTGCGAATATTTTCTATTAAGTAGCTTATTTTGATCTATCCAACTATTTTTGTTTGATCTAATAAATCCCCATTTAATGGCTTCTCGTATTTATTTCATATTTCTCCTCACGAACTCTAGTTTCACTCTTTTTAAAATCCCTTCGGGACGTCCATGGAATTGTGAATTTGAAAACCTATTACGGAGGTTGCGAGTACAGAACGACATGAGTAATATTCAGCTATTGGCGGGCTAGAACCGCTCTTTTTATATCGGAGGAAACAGACACCGAATCGTAATAAAGATGAATTATGATTTAGAAAGGAGGCGGTAGCATGTGCCGCAGTATTTTAGTTTCCACGAGGTGATTGTGTTGTTGGAATGGCGAAACGCACGACAAAAAATTCTTCAATTAAATATGCGTTTGTCTACCTGGGGAGAGCTTAATTAAAATTCGTCCGAACTAATAGAAGTCGTAAACTCAATAAATGTTTAATCGGAGAATGGAATCGACCGAAATTCATTAGGAAACCTCTTTGATCGAACGGGACATGTCTCCGGATTACAGTAATCGTTCCTTTGTATCGTTCTGATCTCTAATAAACTTTCGAAATTTAGATAACGTTGGCAATCGTCAATGACGCCGGTTTCGTACTGCCCAAATAATTTAACAATAAATATGTATGAGAAGGCGCGACCATCGTTCCGAGACTATTAATTTAACGCCGCTGGGAAGAGCCATATCGCAGAATCAAATACGAATCATATGCATTTAGGCTAGAAACGTAAATAAATAAAGCCGAGACTCATTTCGAATCGGAGAATCTGCATGGTTATGGCACATTAGTTTTATTTATCGCTACTTTTTAGTTCGAGTGTGGTCTTCGCTGTTTCTCGTAGGGATTTCGCGGAGAAATTTATTCTCGCAATAATTTTTCCTAATGAGAATTTTTCCGGTTTGAAGAAAAACTTCGCCCCTTCCTTACCCTCGATTTGCGCGAAGCTCCGAGTCGAAGGAAACAAACCATGACCTGGCCATTAACTATCTACCTCTTAGGTAACTTTTCGCGAATTTTTCGGCTTTTTAGGTTCTTCCAGAACTATCCAAATAGTCATGTAACGCGTCAGGTACGAAACAATGCGCGGGATGCAAAAACCGCGTTTTCGCATGCATTCACAATGCAAGTAAATGCAGCGACTACCAGAATGTATGTATGTATGTGTAACAAATAAACGCGTTATTTGTTTCCGTCTGTAGATCTGTGCGGAACAACAAAACGGAGGTAATAAATCTTGCCAGTGGGGGCGCGATGTCGCGCCCACCGCGCCGTATCCATACTTACCAAACTTGTGTGTCAACGCTGATTTTAAACCAAAGAGGAGGGCTTGATACATTGTTGGAATTTATGCGGAAGGAAATAATACGAAAGAGGAATATGCGTTCGCTTTATAACGAATGCAGAGCCATTCTCCCGTCGTGCCACCACTATTTTTTTTTCTTCAAACGAACGATGCAAATTTCTCTGTACACATTCACCCCGGTATAGGCGCACACTTTATGGTTTTATACGGTACAATCAATAGGAACTCTTATACAAATTTGTAAAGTAGTCGGTATCAATTTGGACTACCATCAATTGATGGAAATTTAATGAACATCTGAATATTGCTCTTGTAGAAAGATATTAAATTTACTCACTGTATGAGCTAGACTAATAATTTCATTGTTCTGTCAGTATAGGATTGTATTTAATAACAAAATTGTACGTATACCTATGAGTTAATTAGCTAATTGAAACCTACCTGTTAGTAAAATGTGATACATCCACTTGGTGATGATAATAATAATAATGAAAACGAACTTGGTAATTCAATAAAGTAAATATTAGATATTATTAAACCTATCTAACAGCTATTAGACATCATTTGTACAATGATGATAAAATTTTACCTAATTATTTTAATATAGTCGCTGCTTCCTTTTTCGAAGCAGTAATACACAAATCGTTCATCTGAGTTGTTGTTTGAAAATGGTAGCAAATAAATCGAAAAACGAATTGTTTTTTCTAAAAGCTGTATTTAAAACAGCTTGTTATGTTGGTATATTTCCTCTCCTGACGGACGGTTACACAGCAAAAATTCACCGGGTAATTTATTGCATTTTTAATACGTTAACATCGGTTTGTTTACTGGTGGAATGTCGGAAGGTATTTGAATTCATTAATTTGCCCACGGATCATATCATAATGATGGCCTCGAATTACATTTTATTCTTCACGTTCCACCTGATTTGCTTGAACGGCGTTTTCAAGAAGAAATTTATGTGGAAAATGTTAAACACATTAATAATGGAACTGGAAAATTGTTGTATGCGCAAGGTGAACATCACTGCGCACATTTTAAAATTACTGGTTTTTTTGGTTATAATTATAGCAGCTCATTCGACGGAACTGCTATTTTTTAAAATAGAGACTACATTCTGCTCGTACATGGCTTATCTTGGAGGAGCTTACGCGTATTTAGAAATATTTTTCGTTGTTGTGTTCATGTGGGAAATCACTAATGCCCTCTCGTCGAGATTTAAGTACATAAATGAACGAGCGCCTACGTTTTTATTTATGAAACATCCCAATGCGATGGAAATGGATAAAAAACTCAAAAATGTTAAAAATGAATTGCTCCTTTTGGAACGGATTGTGATGTATGTAAATTTTACGATGGGAAAATTGCTGTTGTGTTTGATTATTTTATCATTTACAACCACACTCAAAGTGTTTAATGTGATCTTTATACTTGTTCATAAACACAACGATAATATTATGGTACATGGATTTATTGCAAATTTGATGCAAAATTTTGCTCTGTTGGTGAGTATGATTTATTTCTAAATCTTGAAAATATCATTTAGTTAAAGACCACTTTATTTTTTTTAATTATTATCATACTACTATTCTTCAATTAATACTCTCTTATCTAAGAACATCTATCTAACGAAATTTAATTAAATTTCCTTGAAAGGCTCTAACCCAATTAATTGATTAGGTCTTTATATCCATATAGTTTTTTTTATTCTTCCTTAATGGATAAATAATTTTACGGTCATTAGGTAGGTCAGATGATATAAAATAATCATTTATTTCAAATTCATTGAAGTCAGCAATGATGTTTACAACGGTTAAAAAATATCTTTCCAAGTCGACAAGTGACGTAAATATGGTCAAAATTATATGGAAATTAGGCGTAATTTGTGGAGCTTTTCCTTCAAAATCAAAGTCGACATACAAAAGCTTTTTAGCGACGATTAATATCTTATTGGCAATTTTAGGAGTTGTTTCTTTAGCTTTAAAGTCACATAAGCTCATCCAAATGTTTGACATACCCTTAACACAAACGGTTCTAGTGAGTTCAAGTATTGTTTTCTATAGTCTCCTTCATTTCCAATGCGTTTATGGAACAATTAAAAACTCGCAATCGTGGAAATTATTATTAGATTTGATAGAAAATATGGAGCACATTTACTATTACGAATTGAATATTGCGGCGAATTCGGCATTTTTGATGTTTGCCTCAATTTTTTCGATATTGGGGCACTTGCTTGAACTTTGGTGTTTAACCGACGGTCCATCAACAATAACTTCAATAATTATTAATTTACTATCGTATACAGTTGTGACGCAAATGTTTGTCGAATCATTACTTATCACAATTTTCATTAGAAAAATCTGCAATGCGCTGGCAATAAGATATAATCATTTATCAGGACATCTAGAGAAACTCTATTATCTCAAAACGAACAAGGATTTCTTTATTCGAAGCTTGACTAAAATGCAAATCGACTTGAACGTTTTAAACGCAACTGTACAACAAATCAATCAGTGCATGGGGAAATTGTTCTTATTTTTGATCACTCTGGCATTTACACTGGCCGTCACAAATTTCAATTTCGGTTTGATTTTTCACGAAACCCAAACTATTAATAAACTTTTACCGAGATTTCTGTCGTGTCTAATTCAAGGTATCACGTCACTGGTAAGTACAAATTTTCTGGAATGTTACAAAATGATTACTAGTAATTTTTGGAAAAATTCCTCTTTATACATTATCATTTTTCAGTACCTACAGTTAGGTAATAATAATGAATATAAGCAGAACCGGGAGATGGATCGAATGTTATTGGATTTTATTTACTTTCAGCGAACTGAAGGGATCAAAATTTTCGTGTTTATTATTCAAAATTAAAACGGCTGAGAGAGGGTAGTCCATTAATAAAATTACTTTCCTAATAGGGAGTAAGAGCAGGTTTCTGAAATAATGAAGTTCATCAATATTAGCAATATTTGCTTGTCATTAATTAAATAACTGGCCCTTTTACCGTAGAATTAAATTTAAAAAATTTGCGGATATACAAAATTAACACCTTGTAGATATTTTTGAGTTATGTAGTAATTACTAGGTGCAATTATTTGACCTATAAGCACTAATTTTCTATGTTAAGCACATAGATGCTTATCTTTACAATTTCCTTAAGTGCTCCGCATAATTCGATTAATAATAAATCGCCTGCTACCCATTACAAAAATTGGTGAAATAAAGTAGAGACATTTATTTAATTTAAAATTCAACTCGACACCCAAGCAGCGTTAGGGAAAATCCGGGAGAAATTAACTCTGAAAATGTACACTTCGATAAAAAACTTTTTGGTTAGTTCGAAAAGAGACGTGTTTTTTCTTAAAGCTATTTATATTATAGCTGAAGTTTTGGGAGTCTTTCCGTCACAATCGAAGCCCTTTGTGAGGGTCGTTTTTCTGTACATCCATATCGGTTTTGAATGCTGTTGGAATTGCTTCTCTACTATTCATAGCGACGAAGGCGAAGAAGGAAGTTAACCCACCTCTATCTCAAATTGTTTTAATGAATTCTTGTTGTGTATTACTTGCATATTCACACCTACTGTCTGGATTTTTCAATCAATCGATTTGTGGAAGAACATTTTTAAAATATTGGGTCTGCTTGAAAAAGAGTTTTATTCTACGGTTTCTAGAAGTCATCTAATAACATATTGCTTATATTTTTCACTGTAACATTTGTAGTGCATGTTTCTCAAATGTGGTACATGATTCATGAACTGACCATTATTTTTCTTGTCTGACTTTTATTTCAATTTACTTCGATGTGCTTTTAGTTACGTTAACATTCGCGGAATTTTTTAATTTATTAGCCAAAAGATATTCTTCATTGACAAATTTCATCTCTTGAACGTATTCGATTCGATACTTTTCTCCTTCTCGTTATTTTTTTACGAAATGAGCCAATTTATGAGCCTCTTCAAATTTGTTTTTGATAAATTTAATAGACAACTTAGCGTTAATGGTAAGCAGTTTTTCCTATAAAACGTAAATGAAAAATTTTACTGTTAATTAACTCAATATTTTAGACTAGAATCTAACTTGTTTTACACAATTTTTGGAAGGAACAATTTTTTTTAATTAACGTAATTAATAATTTTTTAGGTCTTCTCCGTCGTCGTGATTCTGTCGTGCGATAAGGTCGAAAAAAGAGCAGATAATTTAATACGAACGTGCATTTACATCCAAGCTCAAACGGGCGATGAAAACGCATCGATATTGGCGAACTTGGCGAAAGACCTCCGACCCAAATTCTCGGCTGCAGGATTTTTCGATATTAATCAGCGGATTCTGCCCACTTTTTTCTCGAACCTCTCCACGTATTTGATCATCATACTTCAATTCAAATTCTCCTCTTTGTAATCAATTAGACGAGTTTCGGTGTTATAGCTTATCAATTTTAGCCCGAGCAAAATTTAAGGAATATAAAGTTGCTTCGATGTTGTTTACACATACATTATTGAGAATTTTTTAACCTAACTTTAAAATCATGTCGCTTTTCTAGGAGACTATAAGGCAAGGATGATCATGTTAATTTCAAGTAAATTTTAATAAAATAATTTAAAATTACATTGGATTTTTACAAGGTTCGTTAGTTCAAAAGTTCCTATAATTTAATTTTTGCTAAATCTCATCAAATATAATTCAATTACTTCTTGATATATTTACCTTAAATAACAAGAGGTAAGATTCTTTAATAAAATAAATGTAGGTAAAGTGTATTAAGGGAACAGAAGGAATCTGTAATGAATTAGAGACGCAGGACTATATCACCTAAAACAGTCCTAGCAGGTGGATATAATAGAGCAGAAAGTTAGTAAGCCTCCTGCTCTCTAGGGATAGATTCAGTTTTGAGCCAGGAAACTTTTGTATACGATAGTTTAATGATCACTATTCCAAATATTGTTTTAGTGAAGTGGGAATCAATGGAAAGTTATTTTAGTTCGGTCAATAAGTGAGTAAAATGGTATAAAAATTAATTTTTTTAAAGGTTCATGTTACAAAGAGTTTGAATTAAAGTTATACGAGAAACGCTATCGTCACGCTATCATCACAAGCCGTCTCTCTTCCTTAAAAAATACAATACGGTTATTCGGCTTTCAGGCTGCTCTAATCATCGTTCGTTTCTCGAGGTTCCCAGATCAAGAAACCGATAAAAGTTGAGTATTCAGCGTTTAAAGAATAAGATCATCCCCTCTGTTAAGGACAAAAATTTTCTCTTTAAGCGAATTATGGGACGGCGGGCGAAGTTGAAAACAAAAGACCACGTAGAGTTCGAAAAACACTCCGCAGTCCTCCATAAGTATCGCAAATAGGGAATGTTTTCGAAGGCTCACGGGCGGAGTTAAAGGTATGATTGCAGCATCAAAATAGTTATATCTACTTTAAAAAGCTTCCTTTCCTTTTTAACATTTTTTGAATATTAATTGTTTGCGGTTTTAAAAGTATTATTTTTTTCAATGAAAAATCTCCGTATCTAATTTCGGCATTGTCTTCGATTTAATGTCGAGCTAAAGTGTTAATTTATGCGAAAAGAAGACGTGATGTATTTGTCAAGGGACGAAAAACAACGAAATTTATTATCATCTCTGTAGGGCGTAATTAATCAAGATTTGAAAACAAACAGAAGTGGCGGTAGTTCAATAGGATTTTCTCTTCTTTCCTGATGAGGTGCGTTCGCAAAAAGTATCGGGAGGCTGGGAGGACTTTTTACGTTTGAAATTCCCCCGTTGTTGCCGAGCTTTCGGCCCTAGTTGATCCGAATATTCGGAATTTCCACGCAAGCTAATGATGCACCGATGAAAAGCCGTTCCTTCGATCTTTTCTTCCATCCATTAGCAACACTGATCGCCTTCATTATTGGGATTAGTCGATAAATTAGAATATAGTGTAGGAAAAATAAGCGGAATTCCGCCGTTTTCTCGTGCATTTCGACCGACTGTTTTGATAGTCTAATAGATTTTCGCAATTCGAAACTTTCAAAAAGCAAAAAGTTGGACTATTACGGTGGAAAAACACATCGGAAAGAATTTTAAATGGAGCAGAAGAAATTTACAAGAACTTTACTGTCTAACCGGCTTCAACTGAATGATTAATGTTTCATGAATATAAAGCACACGTGGTGAATTTTACATCTTACATTTAATAAAATATACTGATGGTATTTAACGATGCAATTTCTGATTAATTGTGTACATTTTAATTAAATGCTTACACTTCGATGCACTTTCAATAGTACTGCATTAACTGTACTGCTCTATACCATATTATTAGTTAGGTAAATAACTATTTTATATGCAGATAAATAATCTGTAGATAATTCTTATTTTTGGTGGATATACTACATATGCCCGACAAAATTTTAAATAACATTAGTGCTACGATTACTATACTAGGTATATAAAAAATATTTGCCCTTAAATAATAACACGTTTAAACACCTATAGGGATATTAACTAAGCGTACTTTTTTATGTCATAAAAAACGTTTCAAATGCCAATTTAGGGGTAATCTTCTTTATATCCATTAATGAATCCACAATGCCGGCTATTATAAAAAGCTTTATGAGCTATTTGGCCGTAAATGTCCCATATCGTGCAATATTCAGTAATAGTTGCTATCGATTTCAATAGCAGCTAAAGGACTTTTTATTCGTTACCTCTTTGATGAAAAATCCGGCATTCGCTAATATCCCACTTTAATCAACGGCGGGTTGGGCCGCAATACTGATTTCCCGATTGAATTTTATGACAGAAAAAGCTCGTAAAAGAATTGAATTTTTCGATAAATTACCCTTTTATAGTCGACAATTTTCGCGTTCTTTATTGCGCAAATAGGAGGATTCGTTTGTACTGTTCTAATTGTTTGCTATTCTCAACAAAGCCGTTAAACACATTCGAAACTACAAACCACATGTAGTAGAATTTTTCTCTCAATAATGCAACTCCCATGTGAATCAATTTGAGTAGGCCTCATTTGAAATTTAAATTAGTTATACATACAAATTATGTTATCGAAAAATTGGTGTCGGTCACTTTAGCGCGTTCTTTAAACATTGTTGCCCGAATATAAAACCGGAGAGCTAAAATCGTTCGAAATTAATGCTGCTGAATTTACGAGTGATACTAAAATGGACACTAACAGAGCACCATTGCTTTGGGACCATTAATTCGTAGCTGTATATCTAAGCCGTAAAATTACATCGGTACGTTCGCAACATGCCAGTCGCATACGTGAGTGCATTAAAGAATTCGCATGGATGCGTTTCGAAATAATTGCTGAAAAATTTTATTTAAAATTGCAAAATTCCGCCAAATTGCTCTAATGCCCAATAAACTGAATTTAGGACATCTTTCATAGAAGCATAGTAAAAATTCTACTTAAGATTATCAGCTGAAATAATTATGGAAACGTATTGGAAATGTTCAACAATAGGCACATTTCCACTACAACCGACATTTAAATGTCTCCTTAAGCCCTTCTAATTTATTCCGGCTGCGCCTCATTCGCCTTAGACTGGAGCTCGAGAAAGGGATGAAAATAATTTGAATCACGTTCAAAGGCTACGTACGACTAGTGATCAACTTTCACGTTTCACATAATGCCCTTTAAAATGTTAATGGCTCATTTTCGACGATTTGTTTAGTTTCTGAGAAGATTGCTTTTGTACCATGTTGATAGACGATGAGGACGTGTATATACAATAGTGTAGAGATAAAAGCGGATAAGCGCCGACTCATTTACTGGGAGGTAATTTCGTTTTAAGTAAATGGAAATTCTGGATTAGTGCGGGTGTCCTTATAAATTAAATTTCTCTGTGAATTTCGATGCAATCTGAAAAACGGCAGGATATAAATAACCGTGGGATTGTTCTCTTTAAAGTTTTTTAAATATTAGGTTGAAGTAACTTGTTTACTAGATTTATCTTAATATTTCCCTTATCTCTGTCACCGACAAATGTATTCATACAAATATATTCTGAAATTATGTTCCGTTTCGGTGCCTTCTATTAAATATATTAAACGTGCAAATCCCGATGGTAAAATTCATAAGAACTTTTTAATTTTCATAAATTACAATCTTAGATATACCTACTTCCGCAGAAGAACCTCGGAAGTTCTACAACCTGTAGCAGAGGCGCACTGAAAATATAAATTCATGAATTTATAACATAAAAAAAACCATTTTATATAAAAGACGTGTGTTATTTTGGAAACAATCAGGATTTGAAAGGGGAGTTAAATTTACTTAATTATCGATTAGAAGTTTTCAAATAATTATCCTTTTGCGTTGAAACGTTACTGTTTTAAATATTCTAAGGTAATTCATTTTTAAATAGATTTACTTTGGGCTCCAACACCCTGACCCAATTTTTTCTCACTGTTTTCGGCTAAACAAGAGCCAAGCTCGATCGTAAAATTCCCGAATTATTTTGCGGCAAATGTTTGTGTGAGGGTGTTATGACGGAAAATTAGATTATTTTCCTGCCATTTTGTTGTGCAGGTACTTTAAAACAGTCTTGTGTTTTTATTAAAAAAAGACGAGAAACAAATAATTTAATTTGTAATGAACTCTTCGAAAAGGAATAAAAAACAAAAATTGTATTTGAAAACTTATTAAATTAGGTACCGGTTATTTTATAAATGCTATACAAAGACGTCGCGCCGGAAGATTTTTCGTTTGGAATTAAACTTTAGTTTCAATCAATTAAAACTTTTATAGCCGGTTAAAATTTTTTACACTCAACCTAATGTTGGCATAAAGAAAACGTAAAATAGATTACTAGTAATTGTTATCGTAATTGCCTTCGCAACACTACAATTACAAAAGGATTTAACGCAGTCGGGAAATTATTCGCTGACCGTAAAATCTTAATTGAAAAGCTAATTAATTGGGAGCCCGGACGTATTTCAGTGGCAAAGTAAATGTGTAATTTGACGCCAATATCTCCGGCCTTTATTGGCCATTTAATTTAGCGGCGAATCTAAATACATAGTTATATATTAAAAAAAAGTTAATTGGAATTACAGTAATAAAGTAATAAATAACAAATGTTTTAACATCTGAAAATGTTCCTATTTTTCCTCTTTTGTCGTTTTTCAGCAAACACAATTTCTCCTTCCTTGTTTCATTGAGTATTAAAAATTCAAGTATTGCCAGTTGTAGCCTTGTCATCCTCTCAACAATTTACAAACATTTTTGTATCCGAAATAAATTGCAGGCTAGGATATCGCCGGAAAATGCGGCAATTTGCCAACCTAATTGAATTCGCGTCTAATCTAAACCATCGAGACACGACCCACTTCCATCACTTTATTCACTAGTAAACGTTTACATGCCGTACAAAAATATTAAACGTCTTATACGAAGACGTGCGACTACTTTCGTCAAACGTGACTCGACAAAAATCTACCCTTGCAGAGCCGTCGCTTTAAAAGCGAAATGAAAAATGTCCTAAAGTGAAAACTCCTAAATTTCCTGTCTCGCATCGAGCAATAATTACTACTTAATTAGAATGTGCATAACGTAATAGGTATGCAGTATAATTTACAGTTTAATTAGGCCACTAAAATTTAATCAAGTTGTTATCATTGGAGTGTCTATGTCAAATTAACATTTCCATCACGTATGTGGATAATTCCTCCTTAAAAAACTTACGTTAGAAACGAAGAATTGCAAAGAGAGAAGTATTTTTGTTTTATTTTTTTTTTAGAGTAAATGTTGTTGGGTTTGTCTTCCTCCGAGGGTGAAATCCCGACTGACGTCTATGAAACTTATGATATGTCGCCGCAACCATTCCGCAACTAAAACGACCGTAATTTCATTCAAAAAAATGGGGGTTATTTTATGGGCGCTGGGGTGAGAGTTCGTGGAGTCTAGTAACTGGGAATTTACATTCGCACATCCAGGATAAATCCTCGAAACTTTCACGATATGAGCTGAAAACACAATTTACCATCAATGATATGCGGTTGATTTGTTTAAAAATTTTTTCGAGAGCAACAGAATAATAAATTAGGCTACAAACAAATATTAATACTACATGCATATGTGTACTTAGAGGTACTTAGAGCAATTTCAGATAATATTTTGGCTTTACATGCATTCTGAAATATTCAGGTGCCTACCTACGGCGTCTTTTACTTTCAAATTGAGAGGTATCCCGCTGTTTTATTACTTTTATTCGGTGAAAAAACGCGAAGTTGCCGTGAAAGCCCTATTCTAACTTTACTATATTTCATATTTGAATATAAAGAACCCTGATATTTGAATTCGTAATTGTATAAAGCAAACGAAATTGGATATTAATTTTGAAGGAAAGCTCAGTGATCACATAACGTCCGCACCGAGACCGAAACCATATTTTCCTGAAAACTAACACGCGGAGTGAAAAATAAGATTTTCATAATCTCCTGTTTTGCATATAGAAAAATGCATAAAACAGAGAAAATTCCATTTGGATTCTCTCTCACTATTGCACGATTTCTTCACCTCCATTATGAATACACTGCTCAAAAAATTAACAATCAATTTTACTGATTCGAAGAAAGAATAAGAACAATAGATAGAAATGATAAACATAGCTCAAATTGAAAATTGTATGCTTTCGGCTATCTCGAACGCCCGACATACTTATTCAATTAACAAAGATTCGAGGAACAGCACTTCTTTCGTTGAGGAAAAAGTGACAGCCCTGACAAATCGCCTTACAAATTAAGTTTGATCGCAACAAAAAGTCCTTATGCAAATTGCCGGCTCGAACGCCCTACATTCGCGTCAACCCGGCGATCTACTTTTAATCTGACCATAAATCATTTCAGATTGTGCTTCTGTCAATATGCAAAACGGTTGTGCGGCGTACCATTAAAGCTGTATACTGTTCGGTTTGGACCGATAAGGAGCGATAGTTTTTTGCCGAATAGGCGCAATAATTAATTCCAATGCATGAAGTCCATTTTAAGCTAGCGATCTGGTCGCACTTGGATGAAAAACACGAAAATCACGACTGTGAAGGAAAAAGTTGCGAATTTGGCAACGCTGTGAGATTGTATACATATGGGAAAAATTGCTAGTTTATCCATCATAATTTCGGGCAATAAAAAAGGGATAAATACACCTTCCTATTATACATGTTGGTTTCACGTGAATGATGCATCGCAATTAGGCCGTAATTATTCGAAAATTAAAACTTCGGCGTGAAGTCGTCCAACTTTTCGTCATCATTATTAATTAAAGGGAACTCTTAGGTCCTGGCTACGTATTAAAGTTTTAAATAGTAATCTAATTTCGGGGTTGAAGTTGAACGCTAATTATGTTTAGTTAAATAACTTTGACGGCACTTTTATGCACTGTAAACGAGCGAATTTACCAAAGAAGATACGTTGAAAAGTTAAAATGATATCAGCAAATTAACTGCTCTTAGAGCTTTTCGTTTTTGTTATGTATCAACAGAATTCAACCTATTTTCCTATGGATTAATAGCAGTGGACGATTCGAACGTCAAAAATCAATTAAAACCTCACATTTTCCTGGAAATGGCATTTCAGTGGATATTAACGGCAACATAATTGACGCGATTAGCGAAATATTTAGAAGCGAAAGAGAGAAACGAGTTTTGTAAAAGCCTCTGCCTGACAAATAACCGTTGTGCTCCGGCGCCCATCAAAGAACGCAATAATGAAAAATTTCGAGAAATTTCCTATAATGGACACAGCTTTAAGAATTCTTGAAATGTAATAAGCGAATTCCTCGAATGAAACAGGTGCATAGTTGTTTGATTTTTTCCGAACCTATCCTGATCATAAAATGCTGTTTTACATGTATTTGTAATAAGTTACAGCCTCTATTGTAGAGAAATTATATTTTAGCGCCCCCTAGGTAAATATCAGAAGGGTTGAAATTAATTGCACAACAAGTATTTAAGATATTTCGGTGCCAAGCCGTTCATTTCCAGGAGTTCCTTGGCCAATAAGGCTTACCTATACACATTCCGCTTGACAAAGTAGACGTATAATTGCAAAACCTTGCGCGATGTATACATTACCGAGCAGATATCATGAATTTGCTGGAACTAATTCGACTAGGAAGACTAATTACCGGATCAATTAATTTTACAAGACAGTCGGGGATGCAGAGTTCGAACTGCGGTATCACTGCTCAACGTGTATCGTGTTTTGGGACTTGAATGGTGCCAGAATATTAAGCCGACGGATGTGGAATCATATTTTACGCGTCATCTTGCGGGGCAATAGCAATTATGACGGTACATGCAAGAAGTGATGCAGCTCGATTGGAATGCTAATGCAATGTCCGAGGCTCCTTCGGAAAGTTACTCTATTAGCAAAATGAATGTATTGAAATTGTAAAAAACATCTTTATCGGAAAATCATTTTTTTATTTTTATGAGCAGTAAGTTAGCTAATAAAAAACATCCATTACCTTTTCATTGCAAAATTTATTATATTTCGTTGCATTAAACTTCTGACGATATTTTCGTTTTATATAAATCGTGATTTTCAAAAAGTTCTTACTTTTACGGCTTTGTTTTTCTATAAATTCTCGGTTAATTCAAATCAGTTCCTACCTACTTTCAATCATAAAATTGCATATTACTAAAATGGTTATTATAAAATTTTCGGTTCTGTTAATTTTTAGTAAGTACTAACCCTATTTTTATTTTTAACCACTCTAACAAAAAAATATATTTACAATATATCATAATCAAATACCGAATTATACACTTGCTAATTAACTTTACATGTTATAGCTATTTTCACGACAACTCTCTCATTATATATTAGTGAAGAAAACGAAGATGATAGCAATCATTTAGGCGCAATATCTTCATTCATGTTACGAAAAGAAAATGTTTCCTTCATGGTTAAAGTTTTTGGAGATAAAAGATCTTGGTTAGGATATGGCATTGCAATCGGAAGCAGACAAGTATTAATATCAAGCGATATTTTAAATGAATATCTAATTAAATCCGCAACAATAACAGTTAAAATCGACTATCAGCATTACAAAGTAGAAAATTTTCTCAAAAGCGATATTTTGTTTAATGAGTACGTGTTTTTATATTTTACTTCAAACAATATTTACCAGATTCACTATACACGTAAATTATTTTAGAGAACAACTCACCATATTAGAATTGGAACAAGAAATGCCAGAAACGGTCGAAATAATTCCCTTAATTTCAGAAGAAGAATTAGAAGAAGCGATAACAGATAAAATTGAAGCAACCATTATAGGTTTTTCGAACATTCATGAGCCGTCTACTCCAAAAGTAACACTTCTACCGGGAGAAGGTACCTAATACTTTTATTTATCTATGTAGGTAAAGTAAAAGTAATTAACTTTCTAATAATTTATTATTTGTTTCAGAGTGTATCAATGATTATATTCTGTACTTTGATACTCCTTCGATATTAGACATATTCAATTCTACTCAACATTTCTGTTTCTTTCCAATGAAAGAAGTTTTATTGACACAATTATATGGAAGCACGTTGATAATAAATGAAAAATTGGCTGGTATTAAACTTCGCAATCAGCATCCGTATAATACCCTATACTCAAAAATTACAAGTTTCAGTAGGTTTTTCAATAGCACTGCACCTGATGATACAACGACTAAAAAAAGTTCAACTTCTCAAAATACAGTAACTGAAGAAAGTACTACAACACCTGAAGTTACTAAAACTGAAGGTACAACGACGGAAAAAATTACAACTCCTGAAAGTACAGAAACTAAAGAAAGTACTACAAGACCTGAAGCTACTACAACTGAAGATACAACTAGAGAAAAAATTACAACTCCTGGAAATACCATAACTCAAGACAGTACTAAAACACCTGAAGTGACTACAACTGAAGTTACAACGACGGAAAAAAATGCAACTCCTGAAAATACAGTAAATCAAGACAGTTCTAAAACACCTGAAGTGACTGCTACTAAAGATACAACTAGAGAAAAAATTGCAACTCCTGAAAGTACAGAAACTGAAGAAAGTTCTACAACATCTGAAGTTACTACAACTGAAGATACAACTAGAGAAAAAATTACAACTCCTGAAAGTACAGAAACTGAAGAAAGTACTACAACATCTGAAGTTACTACAACTGAAGATACAACTAGAGAAAAAATTACAACTCCTGAAAATACAGAAACCGAAGAAAGTACTACAACACCTGATGTTACTACAACTGAAGATACTACGACGGATAAAATTACAAGTCCTGAAAATACCATAACTCAAGACAGTACTACAACACCTGAAGTAACTACAACTGAAGATACTATGACCGAAAAAATTACAACTCCTGAAAATACAGAAACTGAAGAAAGTACTACAACACCTGAAGTAACTACAACTGAAGATACTGTGACCGAAAAAATTACAACTCCTGAAAATACAGAAACCGAAGAAAGTACTACAACACCTGAAGTAACTACAACTGAAGATACTACGACCGAAAAAATTACAACTCCTGAAAATACCATAACCCAAGACAGTACTACAATACCTGAAGTGACTACAACTGAAGATACTGTGACCGAAAAAATTATAACTCCTGAAAATCCAGAAACTGAAGAAAGTACTACAACATCTGAAGTGACTACGACTGAAGATACAACGACCGAAAAAAGTTCTACTCCTGAAAATACAGTAACTGAAGAAAGTACTTTTGAAAGCTCAAAATATGAAATAAGTACAGAAACTGAATATACGAAATCAGCAAAAAATATGACTTGTGAAACATCTGGTGGAACTAAATCAGAATCAATGTCTACTAAAGTTACTACTCCACTTACACCTATAGAATCTAAGGAAATGTTTGAAGAAAATACAACGCTTGAACCAACAGATACCAAAAATTCAACGAATGGAAGTAAATTTGAAAGTAGATACATTAACTCCTTAATCGTAAATTATGACAATAAAAAAATACTTTATTGTAGGGCCTCTAACGGTCATCCGATTAATTGTACGAGTTCTGCAAAATATAAGAAAATATCTGCAAGGCAAATTAATAACACTTTGTTCGTCAATATTTCTCAGGATTATAAACTTCTTTAAGTTTTTAATAAAAGTCCTAACTTCAATGTTTTGAAATGTCAGTTTTCTTCAATAAATTGTTATAAAAGATAATTTGGTTTCTTATTATTTTAGGCAACTCCCAGATTCGAATAGGTTATTTATAAAAGAAATTAATGCAAGCTCCTGTAAATGTTTCGTATAATTTCACTAAACAATTTGAAAGAACTATGAAAAATTGCATTGAAATTTTAAAAATTGAATATTTTAATTTTTTTAAATAATTAAGAACATTGCAATGGAGACTTGCAATTAATACCTAGTTGATATTGACAAAAAAAACCTATGTATGTCATTTATGTTATAGAATTTGCTTCCGAAAGACAATTTTTACTTATAAAATATATCATAATTTTTACAAAATTTACGTTTTTATAAACTAGGTATATGTATAATGCTTCATTGAAATTTTAACGTTAACAATTCTTCAACTGAATGCAGTAATTGCGTTAATTTTTTTGTGCCATTGAACACAAAAATAGGTATTTCAAATTCGCGTTCAACGATTTAGAATTCGCGATATATGCATTTCAGTATTAATTAAAATGAGATTTTATTTTCCTATTTTACGCAATTTTGAATGTTTAGCAATTCATGAATTCAAACAACAATAAAAAAAATTTACGATTCCGATATGTGCAACTATAAATGGTTTTACGGCTGCTCGAGCGAAGAATTCTTAAAAATGGAATTAAACTTAATTATTGTGTATGCGATAACGCATTTTGGTATGTACAGTTATTATTTTTTATCAATAATCCGTAGGTATTAATAAATTGCAAAGAATCAGATTTAAAATAGGGTATTTTATTATATTGCCACCCTTCTAAAGAATTGTATAATTTTATGAAAGTAGAATTGAGCCGTAAATTATTGACAAACGATAAGAAGAAAAGTAAATTCATCATTTTTTTAGCATCATAAAAAATCTATCAGTTTATTGAAATCCCAAGAAAACAGAAAGAAAAATCGTTCAACCTTTAACTATTTTCTTGCATTGCTTATTTATATTCTATCAGAATTTGTAGGTTCAAATACAATATAAATGACACAATTGCAGCACAATACTCCAAGTAAACGCTGATAAGTATACCTACAAAAGTTTTCCTTCCTTTATATTATTTTATTACCTATGTAGGTACAATTCTGTCGATAATTCTCCGATTCTGTTACAGCTATTTTAACACCATTCTCGGCATCGCTGCCGATGTTTTCTGGTAAAGTAAAACTCAAAGAGGTTCCCTACATAGCAGCCATACACGAAAACGATACGTTTTTATGTTCAGCGACAATCGTTGATGCCGAATGGATTCTAGCTCCATCAGGTTGTGTGCGCGATAACAAGCCTTATCTTGTATCGACAGGATTAAATTCGTTTAAAAAATTTGCCACATTCGAACAAACTGTAGCCGTGAAAAACGTATTTTTCATGGATTCCGAAAAAGAGGGGTGAGCGGTTGAACGGGGATAATCCTGCACGGGGCTCAATTGAAGTTTCTTTTTTAGAGAAACTATTGCAGTTGTTCAAGTGGATGAAGCATTTAGTTTTAACGAAAATGTCAGCGCGATTCCTATTGTGAACGACGAGGATATCGAGGTCTTGCTCGAAAATAATGTCGAACTTTTTATAGGAGGATGGGGCCCGCCTAACGGGAACAAAGTACGGAATTTGGAGAGAGCGCAAGTAAAAATGGTGGATCAAAAACGTAAGTTACAATAGAGGAAGAAGTGTATCTAATAATGGTGGTAGGTTACCAACTTAATGTAATTTATGTTCTGTAATACTCTATTTTATAATAACAATTATTCTTATTGTTTCTTAACGCTCTATTTGTTTTTTAGTTTGCAGTTCAAAAATGATCTATCGTTTTACTGAGGCACTTAACATTTGTTTCTATATCAAAATGAGAGATTTATTGTATACATACTATGGAGGACCGCTCGTTGTAGGAAATCATTTGATTGCTATTAATCTCAGAACCAAAAATTATGTTGGATTATATTCCATCTATACTAAAGTTCATGGCGTTTTTAAGAGCTTTATAGACACCCATGTTTTACACTTGACGACTGAAAGTAGTGAATCTTCGATTGCTCCATCAGATTATTCATCAACTATTACCGATGAAGCTGATATTGTGACTAGTACTCTTGCTGATACACGTACATCTACTCTATTTACTACTACTACTGCTGGTACTACTGAAGCTGCTACAACTATTGCTGATACTTCTACTAATGCTTTGGTTTCTGAAAATCCTGTTGACACTTCTTCTCAATTACTTGATGAAGCTTCTTCTGCTGCCTCAACGACACCTAAAGGAGTAATTACAACTGCTAATATAGACTCTCTTATTTCTGGTAATAATGCGTGGTTGGAAATACTTGAATGGGTAAAACTAGTATTTAGCGCGTTGATAAAAGAAGAATAATCATGAAATTTTAATTTGGTTTAATTTGGAAAATTTAGAATATTTTAAGCAAAGCAGAGCATTCAAATTGTAACTGTGAAATAAAAATTATTCTTTATTTTAATTTTGAAATAAACCTAAACGAAAATATTATGTTGTGTAATTTTTTTGTTTCTTGTTTTAGTTTGCGCGACAAGGCTAAACCAAACATTAGGATTTAAAGAAAGTGTGAATATTTGTTTCGTAGCAAAAGATAGAGAACGAAAAGTAACATATTATGGAGGACCCTTTTTCGTAGATAATCGTCTAATAGCTATTAATCTACTACCGAAAAACCATATTGGTCTGTATATCAAGTACACGAAAGTTAGTGATGTGTCAAAAAAATTAAGCGATCTTGCTCCGAAACCAAATATTATTTCTACTTTAACTACAACGGCTATTTCTACAACAACTCCTATTACTACTGAAATTCTCTCTTCTACTTCCACTACTGAAATTCCTACTACTACTAAAATTCTTACTACTACTGAAATTCATACTACTACTGAAATTCCTACTACTACTGAAATTCCTACCACTACTGAAATTCCTACTACTACTAAAATTCATACTACTACTGAAATTCCTACTACTACTGAAATTCCTACTACTACTGAAATACTTACTACTACTAAAATTCCTACAACTACTAAAATTCATACTACTACTGAAATTCCTACTACTACTGAAATTCCTACTACTACTGAAATTCCTACTACTACTGAAATTCTTACTACTACTGAAATTCCTACTACAACTCCTACTACTACTCCCACTATAACTAGTACTCCTGCTACTACAACTACTGCTGCTACCACTACAACTCCTACTACAACTACAACTCCCACCACAACTACTGCTTCTACTACAACTACTACTCCTACTACCACTACAACTCCTACTACTATTAAAACTAGTATTACTACAACTACTCGTAAGGTCATTCCTGCTACTGTAGTATCTTATGTTAACGTAAAAACTAAAGACAAAACGTCTACTTTATCTACTACCACAACTACTCGTCCAACTAGTCCTGCTATTGAAAGTATAAAACAATCCGAGCCGAGTTGGTGGCTACATCATGCTGTTAATTCAGTATTTAAACCGCCGTCTATTGATATTTAATTTACTTACGTTTTTAGAGAATATTTTATATTCTATAAACTATTATTTTTTAGGTATTTTTATTCGTTTCCCGTCTCTAGATAAATGAATAATTAAAAAACATTAAATTTTATTTGAATAATTTACAATTATCGAATTTGTACATAAAAAAATTGTATAAGTAAATGGGCTTACAAAATTAATATACATAAAAGTATTAAAAAAATTAAATTAGTCCTAAAACATTTTAAAGTCGCATTCAATCACACTATGTTTTCATAATACAAATATTTTAGTGCCGTAATATGTATTTTATGTACAATATTTTTAAATTTTTTATACCTTGAATAATTGAAAAATATATAAATCCAAGTCGGTAATTACTTAAAATATTTTATTGGTACAATTACAGTGAAGTGGCAAATTTAAATAAAATATTTCTGATACTTTATTCAATAATAATAGGTAGGTAGATATAAATTTTATATTCAACGTATAAAAATTTTACTCTACAAGAAATAATAGACACAAATCACTCTTAAGTGTATAAAATATAAAAATTACTTTCATACATATAAAAAATATACATTTACATAATTAATTTTAGCGATGTGGATATAGCTTTCAGAATAAATAGATTAATATTAAATTATTTTTATGTAAATATCTGCATTTCAACGGTTTAAATTTTGGAAATATGCAGTTATGGCACCGATACTACAATACACAAGACAGTCATTTAGAATTTAAAATTCAAAAATTATTGATTCATTTTAAATATGACCACATATTATATTCAATATTAATAACAAGCTAATTAATTTGAACTTTGCTGGAAATTTTTTAATGAACATTGCATTTATATTAAGTACTGGTTTGTTCAATAAAAATTTCTACGTTTGTAATTGACATAAATTCAATTGCATCGAATTAAGCTTTGCTATTCACCTAATTTTATTTAATACCTTTTAAAAACAAACTTGCTTCAAAAGGAATCGTAAAAACACTTATCTAGAAAACTGGGTTTAACTATTTTTGATTTATTGATTCTTGCCTAAAAAAGACCTCAAAACTCTTAATTAAAGCGAACTACAGGTAAACATGTTGTAAGTTGTAATTTTCAATTTGTAAGTTCAACGAGTAAAATGCCCGAAGAAGCAAGCTTTTAGGAACTTTAACTATCAGGAAATTCCTAGACAAAGGCTAAATTTAAGGGAAATTGTTTAGAACTTTTATTACTGAATTGTCGCCCTAACTCTAATTAGCAACTATTTTGTAACAGACCGGTGAATAGCTGACAACTTCGCTCTATTTGAAATGTTAATGTTAGACTAGGCAAATATTTTTGTATGGATGAAAAATATTTGTTTATATGGATTTTATATGAGAAATACTGTTATTGATAAAAAAATCGTATTTATAAAACATTGGTATGATTCTGAAATCGGCTTAAACAAACCAGCACAAAATGCACCAAGTACGTTATATAAAATGTTTCGTTCGAAATACATTCATGTCCATTTTACTCGGAGCGAAAACACCGAAATCGAAAAATCTACCATTATCGGTCTATTTACAAGCTCAAGTTCCATTCGCAATCGTATGTTCCTTTTTAATCTCGTCAATTGTTGCTATGGAAATTTTCTTCTCTTCGATAGTATCCAGGGGAAACTTGAAATTCAGTTCTCCGTCGCCGAACAGCGGACTGTGATTATTCCCGGCTATCGATTCCCATTCGGCTGTAGCTATCTTATCCTCGTGGGTGTAATATCTGGCCGCATGCCGATTGGTATAACATAACGCCCCAATTATCGCTATCACCGTCAAAAATAGAAGGAACACGGACGTGCTGGCGACGAGTATGCCGACTTCTCCGTCTCGGCCTATTGAAAAAAAGTTGGCATCGCTGGCCGTGTAACTGGGGGAATTACACCAGGTCAATTCGTTCCTCTGGATCCGCTCCAATTTTATACCTTTCACCGTGTAAGGAGCCGAACAGAGCAGCTCCCTAAAAACGGCGCTTCTGTTTACCCGCTCTAACAACGGAATGATGTGGCACAAATCGCACGACCACAAATTATGATCCAGCTTAATGTTCGGCGTATTATCCAGAGCTGTTAGAAAGTCCTCTTCCAAACCTCTAAATCGATTACCTGATATATCTAAAGTTGTTAGATTTAGGGGCAGCATCTCCTTCTCTAACGTTGATAAATAGTTTTCGCTTAAATCTAAAATAACGACGCTCTTAGGAATTATTTCGGCGTCTATTTCCGCTAAACCGCAATCGGAGAGCCTTAACTCTTTTAGAGCGTTTAAATACACCAAGTATTTCAAAGACTCGGTTCTCAAATGGTTGCCGCTGAGCACGAGTTTTTCCAGGATCTCGTAGAGCGGCTCTAAAAACTCCAAATTACTTATCCTGTTGTAGGCGACCGCTAATTCGGTTAAATTGCCATTTTCGGCGAAAGCTCCGGTGGCTATTTTCGAAATTTTATTATTCGAAAGGTTCAGCCGTCTCAAAGCCGTCTGCCGAACGAACGTCGAGTTATCAATAGCGGTGATTAGGTTACCATCGATTTTTAGGTATTTCAGATTTTGCAGATCCTTCAAATCGTCGGACGAGACATTTTTGAATTCGTTTCGGCCTAAATCCAGATGGACCAGGTCCGGCAATAGGTGGAATATGTCGTGGTTCAGTTTTGTTAAGGCACAGCCGCGACATTCAAAAAACGTCAGCTCCTAAAATAAATGCAAACACAAGCTTGAAAAATCCACCTACATACATTATCAAGACTATTTTTTTTTTTCATATAGGGTGATCAATTTGTTCTTCACTAATTCAAGAATATTTTACTGCATTAGGGAATAAGAAACTATCCGCATCAAAAAAAGCAACGAATCGAATTCGCAGTGAAAAAAATATTCGTAAATATTCCGCAGCGGCTGCATACAAATTATGTACAATTTACCTCGAAGGTAAATACTTGTTAAAGCCCATTCCGTATCCCCGTTTATTTACCGGAGTAAAGTAAGCAACCAAAGCTTCTCGAGGCGCTGGAAATATCCAATCCGAAATTCCGGCGAAACTTTAAATATCAAGCGCTTATGAAATTGGATTAGTTTAAGTTTTTAAATTGCGCGAATTTACAAGGTTAAAGTAGGTACCTAAATCAAAACGGGAAATCTGATTTACTCTTCAAAAGTTTGTTTTGGATTTCTCTAAATGCATGCAGTTTGTGGATTTTTTCACGATCGATAAGCCTAAAAATGGTATTTATTATGTACCTACTTTTATTTATCTTTGAATATAAAAATTCTTTTTACTTATTGAAATTTTATAAATTTCAGAAAGAGTGGCTTTATAGGCTTTACTTGCCTAAATTACGCATCAAAGCGTTCATTGTTTAAAGACTCAAAGAAGCACTTTTATTAGCTAGCTAATACATTCATGAATAATTAAATTCAACACTCTTATTAGGTATAAGTAAAAAATTCAATATTCTATGACTCGAATCATTTACGGAGCATTTTCAAAGAAAGATTTCATAAATTCTCATTTCAGCATCTTAAATTCAATCTATAACGAAAATAAACAGCGCCGGCATTAGCGAACTTTCAAAGGTAACAAAATCAATATTCCTTGACTTGTTGATTTACTTAAAACTCAAAAGCTAATGGAGCTTAAAGTTTTAAGACCGGATTAATTACATACCTGAATGTCTTTGAAAACTTGGGGGTTTAATTCTCTCAAATTGTTGCCTCCGACTTGTTTGAGGACTCCAGTTTAGCGATTTTCGGGCTTCTATTGAATCCCGTTCCTTCCGATTGGAAATGCGTATTATAACTTTAGCTCTTGTTAGTGTCAACGGATAAAGGTTTTTGATATTAACCCGATCATTTCCAGGAAATAAAATTTGATAAATTAAGTATAGATACATTTAACAAATTGATCACTCATATTTTTCAAGCATTATTACAATTCTTACCTGTATATCTCTGAAGACTTCGGAATGTAAAATGCCCAAAGGATTCCCGCTGAGTTTGAGCACTTTGAGCTTGCCGATCTCCAAGAACAACCTGGGCGTCAGCTCCTCCAATCGGTTCCGTTGCAAAGACAGCAACCTGAGCCCGAGCAGGTACCGGAAAGTACCGCTGGGCAGCGAAATGATCCTATTATCGTCCAAATACAGCTCCTTCAAGTTCGACAAACCGCGAAAATTGTGGTCCAACGGCTGCGATATATTATTCTGCGACAAATTCAGCACCTCGAGCTTCTTCAGCCCGTAGAAAAAGTGCATGCCCAGCTGCGGTATGTTCGATTTCGTGATGTGAATCTCCTCCAAGCGCCTGTAGCTCTGGAACACCGGACTCATGGTCAGCGTGTTCATGTTATCGTCCGGCGCCGTGATTTTAATAACTTCCGTATCCAGGCTGACGTTGTTGAGATTCAAGGGCCCCACCGTACCGCCCTCTTTGCACGCCACGACGTTTCGACCTTTATGGTCCAGATAGCACGAGCATTTCGTCGGGCACATCGCCCACGTTTGCGAAGCGTAGTAGAGCAAAATGAGGAGCTTGAGAAACATTCTGCAACAAGAAAAAAACACCAGGTGAAACGCTGCTCTTAATTGATGGATAATAATTGTATAGTAAGGTGATAAAGCTTGAAGGAACTAGAGCAGTATTTCAGGGGAAAAAAGCAAACAAATTTTCCATATCCCCGCAATTTATTTTCATTGCATCAATCACGGCGTGTATGTAAAACGTCAGAGCAAGTAACGTTGTTATTAACTTGTCAGTATATAAAAGATATGGAAATAGGGTTGCCGAATCTTACGTCACATCCTGCTTTGTGTACGGCTAGACTGCTTATGTAGTGAACATAACTTACTGCACAAGCATCCCCGACGACATGTGATAACGTAACACATGGCACTAAGATATGACCTTAAACGCCGTCAAATGTAAGATGCAAGTGAGTTGTGGAATCGCCACTTCGTCAGGAAATGTATTTTTCCCGGCGTTCAAGTTTCCGGCGTCGCGAAAGGAGTTTAAGATATTGACGCGTAAATCGCCTCGAAAGCGTGCCTTCATTTCGATTTAATGAATAAATTCTAGTGTAAAAATGAACTTCGCACATGTGCGAATTCGTAAGTGCTGCGAGTTTTTAGCGATTCAGCATCGCTAATGCAATTTCATGAATATATTGAATTTTATTTTCGGCATGTAAAACGCAACAGTTTTTCACAGTTTACAATCAGGCCAAATATTTATGCAGAAATCCACTTTGTCATCGGGCGCTTTGAAGTATCGACAACCCCTCTATTAAATTCTTGGCATACTAAAAAAATAATAATAAAATCGTGCTTTGTGCGGATACGAATAAAAAATTTAATCGGCCCGGAAATTGAGTTACGAATGTAAACTACTTACGCCCATGGTTTTTGCAGAATATCCAAAAATTGCTACCGAAATTGGATTTTTTTTACGAATTACGACGAAAAACATTTTTTTATTAAAACATATTTCCAATATCAGCGGATCTTATAAATAACAAGCCTATTAATCATTATATCATTATTCCATTATTTATCTTTCGAGAAAATTTAAAGAGCAACTCCAACCGATCTGAAACGAAACCGAGCAGCTAAACACAAATACAAGAAAGCCAGAAATACAAAAAAAAGAGCAATAATTTCACGAATTTTTCTCATTTCTGCGAACGAGTGAGTTTAATTAATCATCCAAACACTCGTATATCTTTATTACTGTTCTGATTAATGCTGCGGACCAATCCTTTCAGATGCCAAACAATGCGGTATTAGGGAATTATTCGAAGCGCACTTTTCGCCTCCCCCGTGTCAGCCGGTGGAGAAACGGGGAATTTTTGCGCTCAAAACGAAAGTACGTAACAATGACAGCTGGAGCGTTCCCATAAATACGTGGGAATATGCTCTACGTAGCGGTTCGTCGTTTAATGCAATTTCGACGATAATTCGAACATACAAAAGAACGAGTTGCCAATGGCTTGTCAGCAAGACGGAGTTCTTTGTTTCGCCCGCTTTGTTTCGGCTAAATGCTGGAATCTATGCGCAAAAAAACGACGGGGATTAACCGAAAGAAGAAACTGTTTGCTTCAAAGAACGGGAATCCCGATGCAGATTTACTCTACTTTAATCAACTGGATTTGACGACTGAAAAGAGCTGAAAAGAGTTGTTTGGTTAGCTCGTTTAATTTTTTATTTAAAAAAGAAACCAATTAACTATTTTTTGAAGCTTCAAATTCTTTTTAAATAACGTTATTACCTACTGGATGAATGAGACATCTTATTCAGCAGTACTAATTTACCTATATCCAAACATATTGAAACTATAAATTTCTGTACTATATTGGAAATTATTGTATTAGTCTCAATAAGATACAGTTAGATTTGTGGAAACCAATTTTTGGTGGGATGATGTTCTTGGGCGTCTGGAAAACAAATACGGTCTACGTCAAGGGAAAATATACAGGATTTTCGAAAATACATAAATTTTCGGCTGGCAATATATAGGCCGTTACTCGGAGTTCGGTTCAAAAACAAATATTTTATAGCATCAAATTATACTAGTCGGTCTATCGAATTGGTAGAGGCTCCCTAGAATATATTTGTTCTTGAAAAAAATATTACAAGAATACTCTTATTGAAAAGTAATAAACTTTGTAACAAATCCTATAAGCAATCAATACCCACGTACACAATTCATTTTACCTTTAATTTATAACGAGAATGAAGCTCTATATAGGTATTTTAGGTCGAAAGTGTTACAATAAAAGTCGCGTTTAGTGACATATACGACCAGGAATAACCGTAAAAACTGTTAATTAGGTTTGTTTTACTGTTAATAATTGTCAACTGGGTCAAAGCAATTAATTTTCCACATTTTATTGATCAATTTAGCGCGTACCCTATTACAAAGTCGTAAACTGTCACCTGCAGTAATTTAAATCTTCGCGTAAAAAGGATACCCTATGGGGGAAAGAGTAATGGGGTAACGATAACAGGCTTGGGAGAGATAAACTTTTCAAATATATGTCGTCGAGGTACCGACTATGTGGCGAACCCCTTAGATCTCTGATAACTATTAGTTTATGTTCACAGATAACCCCAAGAAATATAAATTATGTAATACTTATTCGTTAGAAAGTTAGAAATAAACATCATGTGTATACGTGCAATAAAATTGAAACTCGTTAGGTGGCTCGTCCGCAATTTTGAATATAACTTCTTTTTTATCGACGCTGGTGTCATAAGTACCCGAGCGAAATTGTATTAGGGAAATGTGCGAATCACACAAGGGCGGTAATTAAAAATATCAAATTTCCCTTTTCACCCGTAAACACAATTAGAACACCTCTCGCTCTGACACAGTTTCATTTAATATTTAGGACGAAGGGACCGTATTATCTCTAGCTGTAGAAATGTTTTAATAATTTATTTAACAGCGTTTAATCCGTTGAATTAAAATCGGTCAAACAGGGCTTACCTTAAATTCGCATTGTAGATAGAAGGGATCCGGCATTTTATTTACAACGCTGTACCTAACATGTGCCTATTAATCCCTTTGCTAATTAAAATGAATAAGCGAGTTGGAAAAATCGAAATTCGCAAATTTCCAATTACATATTTTGAGAGTACAATTCAATCCAGTACTTACGCATTGTGATTGGGAAACAATCCGTAGCCTGTTTACAAAAAAAAATAGGATTTTTACAATGCTTTCATAAAATCCTCTTATCGTAGCCATTTTGTATTTTGTTATCCGTGTAATACAAACGAATTGCAATAAAACATCCAAGTGTTAACATTGAAACGAAAATTAGTAAAAAGAAACTAATCATGTTAGGAAATCAGGACCGACAATCTTGATTAACGAACTCTAGCGAAGCTCGGAACCGCCATTAGATGTTTAATTTGGAATCGTGTTGTGGTTTGCATTTCGCCGTTAATATATTCCCTCTTAAGGCCTTCATTTTACCGTGCCCATTTTACATTAAACTGGGGTAACTTCATCAGCGAGGATTCCGCCTGTATATCTCTCTCTCGAGTAAATAACTTGTTAACGGCTAATGTTTGCTCTGATTGATTTTAGCCTCTCGTTTTTTTTGGGTTTTTTCGTAGCGCCTCCGAAAGTTTCGTCCGTTCAATAAATCATTAATTAACTTGTTTACTTTATATTGAAAATAACTCATCTGTACTTACAGTAATAAGTGAAAAGATTTTGCGAGCCAGGAATGAATATTTTATAGTCAATTTGGAAGTTTAAAAACTGATACAATGTGATGCAATTTTCGTTTTCTTAGTCTTCAGTGAGCATACAAAGCAAACATATCTTTCGAAGGAAAATCCTTCTCAGAAAACGTAATAATTCGATTTAGACTTTGCCGCAATGGTTCGCTCTTCGTGAAGTTTTCGACTGTCTGGAATCCACCGAGACTTATCAATTATGCACTCGTTAATTTTCGATGAGTTTCACTTAGAAACACTTAACCGAAATATTGTACTCCTAAAAAATTCAATCTTTTACTCAACGTCTGGAGATGTAGTATGACGAAAAAGCGTTCAGAAATATTGCATAAATCAAGCATAAAATTAAATGTCCCAAAAAAAACCTGAATTTTCTTCTACATCATCCCAAATTCTCCCGTAGGAGCTAGTTAAAAACTACGATTAATTACCGCCTCTTGGCTCGAAACATTCCGAGCAGCACGGTCTCCGGGAACGACACATTACTTTAAATAAATGCGTAAAGGAAGCCCGGAATGAAAATGAAATTGCAGTCGTGTCGTTGATAATGACGACACCACTTGCATATAAAATACTCGTAAACTTCGAAATTACCGTTAACCTTCGACGAAAGAACAGCTCTTTAAAAAGCTCTCCTATTGAAGTTTTATCATTCTAAAAAGATCATAATTTAAGCGATGTTCAGGATTACAATTTTAAGAGTAGGTAGTTTAAAAAATTACTATTACATACTAATTTTCGTTTGTTGACTTAGCAAACCGATGAAACCTGGCATAAAATTCCCAAATAATAATTAAACCGGTTATCTAATCACTATAATTCCTGCTCAGTTCATATCGAATTCCTGGGCATTTGTATGCGCTCGTCGCTTCTTTAGCGGCGATCACTGAATCGGATATCTGAGATATGGCTCAACTTCTCCCGAACTTTTCACCCAAATCAATGATTACGTCAACAAGGGAAAGTTTATTAAGCAAGGAAATCCGTGGATTAAATGAAAAGTTATTAAAATATATTTCAAAGATAAGGTGCTTGCTGGAAAACTTTACACAAGATTGTATGAGCGGAGCGTTTGAATTTATTGGATATCGGAAGTTTCTAAACGTCAGGAAAATTGATTGAATATCGCCGGTTCCGTCTGGGGATGTCTTGATAACGTTTCCTGTAATATTTTAATTTGTTAGTTGAAGAGGATTTGGGGGAGAATGTTGAGGTAAACAAGATGTGCTTCAAATAATTCGTGTCTTTGGAGCAATTTCCGTGAATTCCGATTTATTAAAGCTGTTAACCGGAACAACGACTTGTTAATGAGTAAAATTTCGAATACAATTTCTCAATGAATCTTCGCTTTACAACCGGTTTATGATAAACGTAAATTCTGAAATTACTTTGGAATAATAAAAATTTTTATTAGATCAATTTGCAATAGGTATCCTAAACCTAGTTTCCCAAACTGCAGTTATTTTAGTACGAGAGAATTAAACGGTTCTCCAACGTAATCAAATTAGTTAGAGCAAACACCTAATCTTCGAGTAATATTGGAAAATTCTAAATTAATTGAAGTTAATACTTCTTTATCTGCAATATTATCTATACTAACTATATTTAGTAAGAAACAGGTAGCTAACGAATTTACTAGGAAGAAGAATAAACTTATTTATAGGTAGGTAGGTACTACAGAAATACTCACGTAAAGTTTTGAAACAATCAAAGGACGGATGTAAAAAATACCTGCACCAAAAATTATTGGCTATTTACGTAGCAGATAGAATATTAATTAATTTATTTTGATGTGTTCTGAAAATAATAATTAAAATAGTAATAACAGTTAAATCACATGATGAATTTGCTCATCACAATTTTAATCAGATTAGTACCTCCCAGTGAATAGTAAATAATTTATTAATGAAAGTTAATGAAATTTAATAGCAAATTAAACAAATCGGTAAAAATAATTGTCAGATGTATAAATTGGTGAAATTAATTTTCTAATTCCGTATTTTATCAAATAATAATATATAAAGTACACAGTTTATAGTATAAATATTTACTAACGTATCTTGTTCTATAAGAGCTAATACCCTAAAATTATTACTTAATCAACTAATTCCGTATTATCAAATCCATATTCTCCGGAGTGTGAAATCGATTTACACCCGGCAGCTACACCTAATTGAACCAATTGTAATCTTTAAATTAATAACCCGCCTTTCGCAAATCCCTCGATTCACGGCCGGGTGAAAAATTGTATTTAAAATTATACGCAATCAAGCCTTCCGCCCCGGATTGTTCCGATCGAAAAATAAGAGAAACAAGCGAGAGAGCGGCGACGATCCCGATTTTCGCCTGTCTCGCTGTCAGACAAGTGCGAAATAATTTTTCAGATTTATTTTGAGTGAGAGACCCGGCGAATAATCCCTTTAGAAATTTCTATAATTCGATGGAATCCCTTCATAGCTCTGCCGGCAATAATCCTCTCTCGGCGTTTCTCAAATTAAAGCCAGATTCGGGCTGAATAACAAAGGAAAGAACTCAAACAGACCTATTGAAAGCACGTCGCTACGCCGCGAAAAAATTGTGCATTTATATTTTGAATGGGATGTTCGCGTTGTAGCCCAACACAGGCGTTACCCCGGAAAGGCTCGTTCTTTTAATTACGTTCCAAAGTAGATTTCGAAGTAAACGCTCAAAGGGTCTTTTTTATACTACAATCAAACGCGTACTATTAGCTACTCCAACTAATTAACTCATTAACAGGTATAACCAGGTTAGATTTTTAGGTTTGTATAGAAATGTGTTGCGCCTATGCGTTTTAAGAAATGTCTCTGTCTTTTCGTTATACTATGGAAATAGGAATAAAGGCAGGATTCGCAGAATAGCAGAAGGCAAACTGTTCTTTTCCCTTTTTGCGGGGCGGCTCGTCAAAGAAGTTGACTTTTTTATCATTTTCATCGCGCAATTCCGACCTTTTATGCGGCAAAGCAATTTGTCATGTAAATAATATATATTTGCCAAAGAAGCGCAATCTAAAAAAAGATCCTTGATAATTATTTCCTAATGCTTTCTCAGATATTAAACAAGATGGGACTCGACGGGATGAAACGTGTATGCCAAACGCTAAGGAAAGTTGAAAGCTGAAAGGATGAAGGGGATGAAGTTCGTTTTCTTTTGTAACCATCCCTTCGAACACGCTATAATTTAGTTTATAAGGATGGTTATCAACAGGCTCTTCCGGGAAAATCGAAGTTATTAGACTCGGTGGATCGGCCCAAAACTTTTTTTTTTTTGATAAATGTAATAATTTTTATCCCTTATTTTCTGCAATTATTTACATGGAATTTCGATTGTATTAGTTGAAACGAGCCGATGAGGAAATTAAAATAATTGAATTACAATCATACCAATCGTACAAAATATAATTAAGCACTTGACGTATGATTACCAACAATTCAAGCAGAATTATGGATGAAAGCGCATCCCAATTGATTATTTGTGCTGGTGAACATTTTGGACCGTAAGTGAAAATTTACACTAGTAATTATATCCATCAATATCAGACGCCGATTGTGCTATATTAATTATTATCAATTATCGAATTACAATGGTCCCTGCTACTAATTACCTGCGGCAATCGTTTTATTGATATTAAACCAAACATACTAAGGAATATAAATTAATTATACACATAATTTAACTTTTTATAAACTTTTGTGTGATTTAATGCTCCTACTGACTGCGGACACCGGTCTTCATTGAAACCGTGTTCCAGTTTAGTGATTCAATAACCTCAAATTCCTGCAATCCTGCGGACTCGGCCAACTTTGAGCGGTACCGCATTTCTGGAATTTCTTTTATTATTTTACGAAATCGACCTATCGATTTCGGCGGAAGTTGCGAGGTCCTACGGCAAAGGAAGTGTCGCCAAGTCCTGAAAACTGCCGCCGTAAATCTTTGGGCGCAATTGAAAATGATTTCTGCGACTGGGATAACTTGCCCGATAAAATGGATTGAAAAACTTGGACGATAAGGTGGGCTCAAGCGTTGCTCAAATGGAATTTGAACTGTATAGTGAATTGTTATTAACAATTTTAAAAAGACATTATTTACTACGTCTATAAGGAATCCTCAATAATAAAATAAATTTGTGAAATATATCTCAAAATATTTTATTTAATTTCACACAGAATTCTCATATCCTTCTACCTTCGGTTCTATTAATATTACAGTATCCCAACTATATCATTTTCTTATTCATCTTAAAAATTTATCGAATATTACCTCTTATATTATTTATTACGTACACCGAGTCTGCTCGTTATTTATTTGAGATATTGGGAAAGGTAATTTGCACTCATGCATTTATGAAATTTCTCGCAGATATTTAATCGATGTTCCGTTTTCACGCTTCACGCTTTACGTTCGAAACTGATTTTGCATAAAGCAATGAACGTTTAAGTTCGATGTTTATATCATTCGAGTGGGCCATAAAATAAGTAAATGCCGTTTTCCCGGTAAACAGGAAAATCTCTGAAATATGTAATGGTTTCGATTTGTCGTGATTTGTATCTAAAACAAGAATTAGATTGAAATATTTGCTCTAGTACAAAATTGTATTCTTACTAATTATTTCATAATTATAAAAGATTTATAGTGATTAACTGTATGCGACTTGAAGTCTTTATCGTGCATTTTGGTCTCTATTTTGACGATATTCTGGCCTTAATGCAGTCGCTAAGAATGAATGGTTAGAAACGTCGGCAGGTGACAAGTCGAAATCCCATTCTGCTACTTACGTAACTCGAGTTTATTTGGAACGTTTCGCCAAATTGATTACACACAATTTATTGAAGTATCGCCTGAAAAGATTCGGTTGGAAATACTTGTCATTTGTGTCTTTCGCATTTTTTAGAAACTCTGATAGCTCAGATTTTTTTTAACTTTGCCACTGGGGTACTTTAGTTTGATTGTAGACTGTGTAAATTAACTTATTTGTACTCAAATTGTTGAAATGAAAACTACGATTATTGATGAAAATGTATTAAATATGATGAAATAAATTACCTATTTTCTACGTTTGTATTTTTTACGTTGTAAAGTGAATAAATATAAAATTAGCATTGTTAGATTATTAACGTTACTTAACACTTAAGTTCAAGTTGACGGGTATTTTCATTGTTTTTAGATGAATATATAATATATTTAGTTTCGTCTATTTGAACCAAGTTTTAATAAAAGATAACTTCGTTAATCTTTATCAATTATTACTGCGTTACAACAAATTTCGCAAGAAAATTATGGCAATGAACCAGTGGCGTATTAATGTAAAATGTGCGTATACATATAAAATTTTAAAACTGTAGGAAAAAAATATAATAAAAGAGTAGCAAAAAAAATAAAAAGTTATTTTGTATTTATTAACAGTTTTTAGAATAGGTATATTTTCTTTTTTGAAAATTCTTTACCTTAATAATTTTCTTATAAAACGCTACTGGTATAAATTTTTATAAAGATTAGCCATTACGTTTGCTTTTTAATTAAATTATTAGTTTCTCATATTTCATAGATAATGTTAATTTGCACGTAATTTAAAAATGATTCTTGCAATTAATAAATGTAAGAACTAAGGTAGTTTAGTTGGAGAAAAATACAAATCAAAATGGAAGTGGTAAAGGTTTCTAGTGAAAATGGCAAAGATGTTAAAAAGGAAATCAGTAAAGGTAAATCTTTAACGACCAACTAGCATTAAGTTAATAAGTAATATAAGACAAATTTGCTGTTATTTCAGACAAAGCAAATTTCGAGGAGGCCATCACCGCCACAGAATTCGGAAAATTTAATATAATTTTATTACTGTTCTTATTGCCATCGTCCTTTACGCAAGCCAGCGAACAAATGGGCATTTCCTATGTATTGCCCATAGCGGAATGCGATCTTCAATTAACATTAGAAAAAAAGGGTTTATTAAACGCCGTTTCCTTCGCAGGTCAAACACACCTTAGATTATTATTATTATTAAAATAAGAAATTTGGTATATTTCTGGTTTAGGTATGATATCAAGTGGTGTCTTCTTCGGGTATTTATGTGATACTTTTGGAAGAAAGAAACTGATTGTTGCCGGTTATCTCTTACACACGATATTTACCATAGTTGCAGCGACTTCGACGAATATATTACAATTGTTGATAGCCAAGTTTATATGCGGGTTTATGTATGTAAATTTCACTGTAAAAGCTGAATCGAATGCAATCGAATTTGATTTTTAGATTTAATGGTCCTTTTTCATCAGTTACAACATATTTAACGGAATTCCATTCAACTAAATACAGATCTAGGGTTCAGCTAATTAGAGGGGTCAATCTTTCTTCAGGATTTTTCGTATTGGCTGTTATAGCTTGGGTAGTTCTACCCTTAAACATCAACTTTAGTATATTTGGATCAATCAGTAAGATAATTTAATATACTGTTTAAAAAAAATCAAACAGGATCAAGAAAATAAATTTCAGATTTACATTCTTGGAACGTATTTTTGCTATGTTGCTCAGTCCCACCACTGATGACTGCCATAATGTTCTCTTTTATGCCCGAAAGTCCAAAATTTTTAATGAGCATTGGCAAAAATGAAGAGGCTCTTAAAGTGTTCCAAACTGTGTATAGTTTAAACACTGGTAAATCAAAGGAGGATTTTCCTGTGAGTATATTTTGTATCTCAACTTCGACTATACGCTTTCCAAAATTATTTAGTTGCAAAATTATTTTAGATCAAACAATTAATACAAGAGATAAAAATTGATGAGAAAAATAACGAGAAACGTAGTTTAAAATCGAGCATGAGTGAAAGTTGGAAAAGGGTAAATAAACTTTTCAAGCCACCTTTAGTTTATAGATTAATAATAATTGTAACGTTAGCCAATTTTCTACTTATGGGGTGAGTTTGTAATTGTTTACGAGAATTCAACAATTCCTGGTAATTTTATCGTAAATTCGATCTTTATTTTTACAGATCGAGCATAATAAAATTCTGGCTTCCGCAACTTCTGAAATTAATCAACGATTACCGAAAATTAGAAGGTAATTCGGGGATTGATGTTTGTGCTGCTATAAACACCTTAAATGATATTGAACAAGTAGTTAACAAAACTTGTGAAGCAGTGAGTTATTTTATTTCTTGACTATAACTTATTCAAAAATTATATCTCTTTTAGGTAGATAATTCATTTGTATATCAAAACGCTATGATAATTAATGGAGTGGAAATATTTTGTTTTATTATTTCCGGATTTTTAGTAAACTGTCTAGGCAAAAAGAGGATGATGGGTATGAAGTATCTATAATTTTATATCAATTTTCATAAAACATTGTTTTTTGTATTTTTTTAGGTATACTAAGTACCTTGGCTGCCATTGCAGCTTCAAGTATATATTTTGCTCCTGATACTACTACATTAATAGCACTCCTAACGATGTTTATTTCCAGTTTGGATCTTTCAGGTGTAATAGGTTTGACAATCACCCTAGAAGCTTTTCCCACAAACGTGAGGTTTGTATAAGTCGCCCAAAATGGATTAAAACTCTCTCAATGACTTTCAAATTAAATAAACTAAACTATAAAAAATCCATGTTATTTTCAGGGCTCTAGCACTGTCGCTTAATTTAATGTTTGCTAGAATTGGAGCTATAATTGCAAATATGATGTTTTCTTATCTAGTGGCAGCTGGATGTTTCGTGCCATTTTTAGTTTCTACTGTTTTAGCTGGAAGTAATGACTGCTTATACTTATCGTTTAGTTGAATTTAAATAATTCATTCGTTATTTTTACAGCTCTGCCAATCCTAATTTACTTGAGTCCTAATACAGAAAACAAGGATCTGCTGTAATTTTAAGAAAACTAAATTAACATAAAGTTTCGGATTTACTGCAAATAAAATAGATTCATAAATGTACATAAATTTAGTCGTTAGTATTTATTTTAAGTAATGTAATTTATTTTGAGATTATAATTTTCCTGTAAAGTATATGAAAAGTGTAGAGAAATAAAAAGATAGTGAGTAACATATATTTGAATTACCGTATTTTTTATAGCTTTACCTATTCTACGAGTAGTTTATCTCGTTCCTAACAAGGAAAATATGGATTTGCTTTAATGCGATGGAAAGTTTGTTTATTTAATCACTACTTACTAAATGTATAATGTATTACCTGACGCATTCGGAACACTTGCATTGTCAACTAACAGAATACCAATTAATCTGAAATAATCCCCATTGCACGTTAATTCAACCACTCTAGCTAGTGTAAATAGAATAGGGAATTATGTAGTTGTTAACAAGAGTTTACACGTAGTTAAACACTTACCTTCAATTAGGATCAGCAATGGAACAGTAAAATCTATAAAAGAAAAACGATATTTAGTAAGTTCATAAATTAACTATAAAATTAAAATTATATGTAAATACAGTGATTTTATTTATTTGCAGGTATAATTTTCTTCCTACGACTGCTTTTCGGGCCATTAAAAATCCGGATCTCTCATCTTAGAACAAATTGAGTTAATTCGAATATTTTTCCCTTCCGTTATGGAGCTCTGCGCTCCGGTTTTTCGCTCCTCGTTAAATTTATGAGCGCAATAAAATCGTGCGATTTTTTATATTATACTTATATACTTCCCTCGGAATTCGAGTAGATTTATGCATGAAAAACATGTGTTCTCCGATTTATCCGGACTTAAAGTAAATTAAAAATTAGCCGCTTTTTTCGGATTTGATTTAGAAACTGTACATTCCCGAAAAGAGTTAAATGTTTAGGCAATTTGTTTTCGTACTTATTTCTTTTTATTTTTCAATTCGAGCGATCGAATCGAACAACCGCTAACGCTGCAAAGCCTCCCCAACTTTTCCGCTGGTGTACTCAAGCAAATTACCGCTTTACGTATTCAAAATACCGTATAAAACCGAAAACACCGGAAATTTCCAGTCTTCTGTTAGTTCTTAAGATTATGCAAATGCGAAAGAGGTATTGATTCACCCATTCTCAAAGCAACCTACTGGCTCACGTATGAAGGATATTGCGAATTCTTGATGCATTTATATTGAGTATCAACTACAATGTTCCTCGTGAAGTAATCTCCATATCAAATTTAATAACTGTATAATTAAACTGCGAAGACAGTATTGTTGCTTGAATTGAATTGTTGAAGATAAGCATCGTCAAGCCTAAGGAAAACAGGGGTAGATATTTAAGTAGGGCGTTTTGTTGGTTTTACATTTTAACTTTGATTGAATTTTATTGTCGTTTATAATCGGGTTTAGCTTAAATATTAACACCCAAATTTTTTTAAGCAAAATTTGTTTCTTAACTGTAGGCGATGAATTGAAAAAACAACCCTCTTTAAAATGGTTTTTAATATTTAAATTTAACATACATGCACTTTGAACAATTTCATACAATTTCAGAAATTTTTTTAAACGATATGATAAAAGTATTTCCAGTCCACCGATCGTTCTAAAATGACTTTGTATCATTTAAATGAACCCTTCTAGGATGATATACAGCCACTGCTGACTAAATTAAAATGATGGATACAGCAAGATAGATACAGAAGGCTCTGCTAATTAAATTTCACTCGTTCCCAGTTCAACGTTGGTTGTTTGCTGAAAATTAGCTGAGGAAGTACGAAATAAGGATGTACTGCAGATCAAACAATGCGGGATATGTTTTCTTTTGCCCTATAATTTAATAAATCAGACTAGAGTTTCATCGATGTATTAAGACATATCAGTTGATTTTTATTAAATTTAGGAAGTACGAACGGGTAATTTTCAAACAAAAAGAATTATCTCGTAAATTCCTTTAGAATCCCGTCAAAATAAAACGGAAGTTTTTTCAAGGCGGGAATTCATCTACCGAGAGAATCGCCTTTGAATAGCCTACATTCATGTTTATAAACACATTAATCACCTAATTAAAGTTTCTTACCTAATTAATCCAGTGAACAACCTTAATTAGATAAATAGACTAATTACCTTGCCCTTTAATGGGGTTAAAAGGCATCTCATTTATCCAATAATAAAAGCACGATCTTTCATACTTGACTGCCTTAATGCAAATTTTATTGAAATGAATTTTTCCTTATTGTCATATTAAATTAAAAATAAAACACCATGATAATTTTCTATAATTCAGAAATCCGTGAATCGGTAATTCTAATTTATTAAACGTAAAGCACCTATTAACCCTTGACTTGTCAATGATATCTTCTTAAGAATCGATTGATTTCGTGACCGATCTAAATGCAAGCGAACGGTATGTACTAAACTAAGCCTTTGATATCGAGGAGCCCTCGAACATGATGCTGCTATTCTCTTAGACAATTATAGATACATCTCACTGTAATTTAAAGCCCTGCAATCGGAGTAAAAGACTATTCATGATGAATATCAATTGCAGTCTTATGTACCTACCGCTGCTGTCGGTAATCCACCTGATTATTCAGTTTCTTATAAGAAGCTGGTGCAAAATTGAGGTATATTTACGCAATTATTTTTCTATAAATCTCCGCGAAATTGTTTTAATTAAATTTTGGAGTGGATACAGCCGATATCGAGAAGTGATTTATGAAGCTGTGCGATTTCAGGTTAATAGTTCTATTTAAAAGTGTTTTTCTCTCGCTGCTTCGCACCATTTTCTTACTGTCAGGATAAGGTAATAAATAAATCGAGTTCTATTTCGGGCGGGTTCTTTGTTTTCATTAGAATGTTTGCCCTTTTCGTCGGAGATCCAAATAATGATGTTGGTCTGCTATATTAAAAAAAATAATAAAAAATAGTCTATCGAATATTTTGTGATAAAACGTATTGTGAACTTTAGCTTCCGTACAATTCTAGAGTAGTAAAAGGGGATTCGAAAAAGCCGAACGAATTTCCGGCTAATGTGCAAAAGTGTTACAAGTAGTTCCGTTTCAGAAACTAAATTATATGTAACCGCTAAGTCCCTCGGCTAGCAGACCTGAACGCATAATTCCATGGAAAGGGTCAGAAGTAGTTCACTTTGAAGATTATCACTAAAATTAATTAAACCCGATAAATTCTGTTATCTCTCCAAGTTTGTGTTTGTGCATTTATCCCGAAAAAAATATAATATCAGTTGGACTTTCGAATCATAGCCATTAATATTATTTTATAACACTTTGATAATATTTAAAAAATCCATAGTTTGGAAAATTTTCTAATTCGCCCAATTTCACCTGTCTCTATTAGTCATCCGATATCCCTTTTGGATTGGATTTCAACTTAAAAAAAACGTACAGGATCAAACAAAATCCGCTCCGGTCTGATCGCCCCCGGTAAATGCAATACGCTGGCTATTTACTCGGATTACAATTAAAAAACAGGGCGATCCGCACCCTTAAGTTAAATTTCAAAATTGTTTACATTTCATAAAACGTCTATGATACGCGGCCGTTTGTTTTCTCCGACTAAACAAATCGCACCTTCCAATATGAAACGCGAGACGGACTAAATGGTAAAAAATTCTAAGTTAACTTCTATCGACAGGCTCACAGTTCTCATAGGTATCAAATTATCAGGTATTCTTTTAATATATTTTTAATGCAGGTAACAAAAATTCAGAACAACTTGTTTCATATTATATGTGTCATAGAATCTAGACTGACAATTTTAATACATGAAGCCTGCAGGGCTCAAAATAATGACTAATTTGTACACGTTATTATTATACGATATAAAATACACATTTTCAGTCGATAGTAATTTAAATTAATACGCTGCAGCTTCTAATATTTCAGTCGACAGTTAGTCAGAACCTTGACATATGATTCCACAAGATGGAGGTAGAATACCTTGCATGCAGTGTCAAATTTAAGATAAAATCAATGATTAGAAAACATTTTGTGGCCATATGTTTGTCTCGTTAAAGTAATCTTCGGGGTTTTTTACTGGCACCCTAATCGTGCTCGTTAGGTACAAATTTAGCTACGAATGAAATGAATATTTCAATCAATTTTTTGCTCTTTAAATATAGACTTCGGGGAGAATATCTTTTATGGAAGTTGCATGTTGTATGTACGTTGGTCGCTGCAGGGCCAGAACGTGTAGTGCCTAAGGTGTGCTTTGAATCGAAAATATATGGGAGAACTTCCAGAAATTGAGATTCGATTGGAAGTACACAGCTAGATAATATAGCGATCGCATTTGTATTCAGCTGAACGTTTTCCCAACTAAATAAAAAATTTTAACTGTATATATTCGAAAATCCTGTACCTACTAGATGCTGCCATTTTGAGCATTTACTCAGCATTTTTATCCCTAATTCATGAAGACCTCGGAACAGAGGTTTTTTCTCCAAACAGATGGAAGATAAATCCCCACACTGAAAAAATTTTGGTACATAATATCAATGAACACCATGTTTTCAACTTGTTTTCATTAGCTCAATAAAATAATACATTAATCCAATAAATTTTCATTCATTAGTTAATGATTTCATTTATTAACTCAATGTTTCTTGTAACATTAATTATTAATGTAAAATTTCATTAACTCAATAACAATTTTTATTAATTCAATGAAATTTAATCATTAATATAATAACCTAGTACATTAAAAGCGAATATTTCAGTTAATGTATTCGATACATTAAATCAAAGTAACTTGTACATTAATATAACGAATTGTTCATTCTTTTAATGAAATTTAATTATTGAACCAAAAACATTAATACATTAGTTCGATAAACCACATTCGTCATTTTTTATGTTGCCCCTACATTGATTCAAGAAATTGAGTACATAAATCCTATGTTCGAGTTCATTGAGCCAATGAACGCATATACATCATTAGTTCGATAAAACACATTCGGCATTTTTAATGTTGCCCGTACATTGATTCAACAAATCTAATACATAAATTCTATGTTCGAGTTCATTGAGACAATGAATGCATATACATTGGTTCGATAAACCACATTCGCAATTTTTTATGTAGCCCGTACATTGATTCAACAAACTGGATACGTAAATTCTTGTCTCGAGTTCATTGAGTTAATGAACGCTTTTCATTAAGTCAATGAATATCAGTTTGGATTTTGGCAATACACACTAGAGTGCAAATCTATGCCGTTCTATTCTATTAGAAAAAAAGAAATAGATAGAGACGCTTTCGAAAATCGCGTTGACCGTTAATTACCCCTCTTTCTCTCCTGTTATTTCGTGTTGAAGCGTTGAACTGGAAGTGTTCTGTTTAGTTAATTTCGTTTTCGTTTTGTATTATAAGAAGGAAGAAAATTCAAGCGCTGTTGTTTTAAGAGGTAAGCATTTTTTAATTCGGTACACTATAGGTTAATACTTAAACATTTTATTTCTAGGATTTAAT